TCAAACGGCGGATATGGAGTCCCTTGGCATATTGTGGGGTATTTCGATGATGATGATGATGATGGGATGAAATCCCTGGCGTTGCCTAGAACCTTTCTGGACTCAAGTTTAGCCGACCAATCACATGCAATTGAACATCATACCACGGCAGTTGATGTTTTCAACAAATTCGGCTCAGAAGACAACAACAATTCGAAGGGGGAGGAAATTGATGTACTTGCTGTCCACATCAGGACAATATGTTTGTAGGACGTAGGCACGATGTAGTTGTGCTCGCCCAACAAAGCAGTATATAAGATGATGTGTTTGTAAGCCTTTCACCACATAATTCTTCGGTAAATATGAAAATATCCCAGCCCAAGTGTAACAAAGCCTTGCTTAGAAACTGCTATTTACTATATTGAATCATTTTTTCCATATCGAATATGGAATATTGGGTATCTTCATACGTGTGGTTGTATCTATCGTGAAAGAAAAAGTCATCGAAATCGTGTCGTAAAACCTAACGGCTGGAGAGAACTGCTCTCTTTGTTTCATCTTCCTTTACCCATGTCTCAATTCTTTCACCTACATTTCCGACCAAACTTTCGTATTGCGGCCCTGGGAAGAAAAGGCCACAATGTGCCCCAACTTCATCTACACCTTCCATATAAACTCGGACCCAGCAGGCGTCTCTCTTTCCATCAGATTTCGCAGGAAGCATACAGAACTTCCTGTCCTTCTTCGGCTTCTCCATCTTCTCCGCTTTCGCTACATTCTCTTTTCCTTTAGGAGACTTAGAATTCAATGCAGCTTGCCGCTTTTCCTCCTCTTTTCCTTCTTTCAGTTTCTGCTTCTCATGAGCTTTCATTTGTTTCTCCTCTTCCTGTCGTGCTTTCTTTTCTCTTTTCTCGATTAGTTTGCGACGATCTTTAAGAGCACTTTCGCGATCTTTCAAGGCTTGATTGTAAGCTTTCATGATACGTTTGTGCTCCTTTTCTGCAATTTTTCGAGAGTCCTTGTCTGTGTAAAGGCTAGGGTCTATTGGTTGAGGTTCCGTTGGTGCATCAGGGATAGGAGGGAGTGGAGGTTCGCTAGATGTTTTAGGTACAGTAGTGCTTGCACCATTGTCATCATCAGCATGTGATAACGCTACTATAGGTATCTCTTCGTCTTCTTCGATGGGCATTGAATCGATATGTCGCATTTCCGGTAGTGGTAGCGCACCTTCCTGAACTCCTGAGCTATCACCTAGCTCTTGCATCTGTTCTTCGACTTGCTGCACATGTATATCGTCGGCAGAATCAATAATGGGATCCGTCGTAGTTGTGTTTTCCACTGATGTTAAAGGCTGAATCTCGGAATCGCGTAGATTTAGACTACTCATTCCTGCCTCTGATGCGGCAATATTGTCATTGAGAGGTACTTCGACAGCAGAGATTTTAGGCGGCTTCAGCCGACCAGTACTTGCAGTATAGTAGTTCACGAACCGTCTTTGAAAGCTTTGATTTCGATTGGCAGAATTATTTCGCTCAGCAAGATCATCAACATCTTCTAGAGCACGCAATTTGGAATAGCGATTCATCATGCCGGGATAATCTGCTAGACAGCTACCAAATTCTAAATGGGACATAAAGTACTGTAAAGTTGCCGAAGTTAAGCCACTAAGCTTTCCTGTTATTCCAACACCTTCAGCATGCTTGTTGACAAAATGTAAGAAGTTCTCGAATCCTTTTCGTTCCGGTATCCTAATATCATTGGGAAAAGGGGCGTTGTAATATGGATCATTGGGTGGTGGAGTAGCTAAAGATGTCATACTTTGTGCATCACTTCCTTGATACATAGTATTCGAATCTGAGAGAGTGGCTGCAAGACTTGTTGTAGATGCAGGGCCATTTATCGACGGCGAACTTGCCCCGTCGGGTGACAACGATCCTGTTCTTGAACCTGGAGGATCTGGCGCGGGTCTGAAGAGACTTCCAATTCCACTAACTACAACTCCAGGATGCATACCTAGGAAAGGGGTATCAAAGCTGATTGTTCCCAAAATCCTATGGCGAAAGCGTCGATTTGCTGGAGGAGATGGCGATTGGAGGACAACTTCAGCTGAAAGAATCCCTCCCATACTATGACCCAGTAAGATGATGTCTGTTAGAGCATCTTCATGAGGTTCTAGCCTGATAATGGACTTTGATTAGCCGTGAAAAATGATAAGAGAAGATATTCTTACCAAACGCTAAAGTCATCCCGTGCAAAATTGATCGCTTTTCTAGACTTGTACCTGGGATAAATCTTTGTATGGACAACATGAGTAGCTTCAAGCGTAATACTTAGAAGATTATGAACATGAGCAGGAAAACTCTGGAAACTGGTTTCGTTGCCCATAAACCCGTGAATATAAATGAGTAGTAACTTGCGACGGCCATCTCGATTGGATTCCGAAGGTACTAAAGAGTGTGTAGAAGACGATCTTGGATCGTTTGAACGCCATTGCTCTGAAATAAGTTCACTCCTCTTTGCATCATCATCTGTGTAGGGCGGAGGGGCCTGAATAGACTCTCCTCGTGGTGGAAGTGGGGGCGGGGTATCATATCTTATTGTTGGGACTTCTGAACGATCTTGACGAGCTTTCTCTGCTAACTGAGCAGGAGTAGCCATGTTATTTTTGAGAAGAGAAGGGGGCGGGGGTTCAAGTGGTAATGTCTCAAAGTACTTTATTCGAAAGTAAAATGTGATTGCGATCTGAATATAAATCACTGTATTGTTGGTGATTTGTATTCATGCAGAGATAATACGCGGATTGATAGATTTCAAGGTTTCCGTCAGGGGCTGTACAGTGTGCCATTATACCTCGTGGTGCAAAATGCCAAATGATGTATTTATGCGCGACCAAAACGAACTGGTTGCATAGACATTCACAATATTCTGCATAAAAACATTTATTATGCATAATATTGTTTTTGATGTTTGTTATTGGTGAAGGTGAAGGTTGGTAGATTGGTTTCGAATATTCCTCCTGTTTGGAATGATTTGAGGAAAGTAATCCTCCACACCTATCCATATCTCGGTATTCTTCCAGAATCAGAATCAGAATCAGAATTTTAGTCCAGTACTCAAGTCAAGTCAGATCATTAGCTAATATCAACCTTATAAGCAAAAGTCTATTCCCCATTACAGTTATTCATTCATCATTTTCTTCCATATGGAATACCTACAGTAACTTGTAAGCCTAGGTATCAACGTACAGTACCCACTGCCGCGAATCGCCCCAATCTACAGAGAGTCCTGGGCTACTTGGCCTGGCTGGGCAACTAGCCAAGTAAGTTGCAACCGCCGCATCAAAGCTTCAAAGACTAATGCACAGCAATTCTGGTTCATAGCGAGATCTGTGAAGAAAAAGGATCTTATTATTACTCCGTAGACTGTTTAGTTGCCATTTTAAAATTTTCCACCGGCTAACAAGTCAGGTACGAGGTGCACTAGACTGAGAACTAACAATGTGATCCGTTCTTGCAGTTGACTACTTAACTACTTGCAGTAGTACATCTAGGCACATACAGAGTAACTCGAGTAGACATTGACTCGAGATTGGTTACCGTACTTGAAAGGATTTCTATTAATATGTCTAATCCTGCCCGCCTGCGTACAGTTTATGTATGTATAGAGTACATAAATCATCACGAGAAGTTCTTTCTACCCGTACCCGAATCTCGCTTCAATCTCATTTAATTCGGACGATTACCGGATATTCTCGATATATTTGTGCCATATATACGTGCCATATGTACGGTGTACCTAGGCATGTGCTATATGTACCTAGGTACCTATAAAAAGGTGGTGTCCTATCTTGGGAAATCAGGGGAAACTCGTAATGCTCATCCTAATGTTACCGAAAGACATGGAAAGACATCATCTATCGATGATACTTATTATTGACTTCCTCCCCCTTCCCCCCCCCGTATCCTTTCAAATTTTTATAGATGTGATGAGCAGAAAGATGATGAGATTGTCTCTCTTTATGATGCAGCAGGAGAAGCCATCTACTTTTTAGTTTCTCCTTCCTCGATTCTAGTCTCTCGCCTTCACTCTTTAGTCTTGAATCTTTACCCACATAATAAGGGGGCACGTACATTCTGAGGCTACTGTAGTTTGTATATTCTTTGCAGCGATCCCCCAGTTGACGATAATCAATGTGATTTGATTAATTCTCTGGGGTCTCGACAATTCCCATTTGTTTACCCAGGTACTAGGTAGGGAGAGAGCAGGCACTTTGCTACTTCAAGTAATCCGCGTGCTGCGTAATATGAATGGTTACCCAAGCCATCGAATCCCGAATGATAGATCATTACCAAGTCAACACCCACCCTCTGAGCCTCTTCATCCACAGTGCACACTCAGTCATCGATTCCACCCTCATCTTATTGATCATTACGAAGTAAACAGCACAGAGGTTCATGTATAACCCCCCTTGACCCAGCCGTATTTGCGAACCTAGAACCTTTTGCAGAATGATAAATATGGGACGCAAGACGAAAGAAACGGCTCAGAGACACGTTTCCCACAGACAAACACAACAACAAAAGCAACAGAGACCAAATACGTTTTGTTCCCCATAGAATGGCCGGGTACCCTTGGAGCCTCGTGCTTATTATTCGATAACTGCCACCAGTTGCCATGTCGATTTAATTTTCTTTTCTTCTCCGTCCCTCTCTCTCCTCTCACTTGCTCTCCCTCGTCACTCTCTATTAATAAAATAATTGGACAATTGATTCATTTACCAGGGGGTCCACTTTTAGCATCCTTGAGGATAAAATTTCCAACGGGAGAGATAATTCGTCAGCCTGACTATTCACGAACCTTTAAAAAGGACCAAAGGTAACTCTAGCGAAATTGGAAATTGGTTCTTGGCCCGTGCCATGAGCCAAGCTAACCAAAAGTGGATCTGTCGTACCTGAGCGAAGAAATCCATGGATGTTGTGTGATCCTGTGAAGCTGGTAGAGCCTGTCCTGTCCTGTCCTGTCCTGTCCTGTAGTCATGTACTGTACCTACCTACCTACTACCTAGTTCTTTGCAACTTACTATCAATATTCACTTTTTTACTCTCACCCCCCAACCCAACCCAACCTACCTACCTCCTCCTTACCCTTTTCACGGAAACAAAAAACACAAAAAAATCAAAAGCCCTCTTTTTCCATGACGACGGCAATGAGGGTGACGTCGAAGTTGTAAATATTAAACTGCCCAAGTCGGCGGAAGTCACTCCTTTAAACAATTAGCTTTACCCATTGAGCGCTGTAGACGCAGCTGCAACAAAAAGGGCAACGCCATGAACGACGCTGAGCCATCACTCTTTCTGGCCAGACACGAGCATGCATATGGGCAATCTCATCACAATCATTTAAAACAACACCAAAAATTCCACAACAAACGTCAAACGACTGCCATTGAAACGGCGACAGCTGAAGCTTCCGCCATTACAGAGGTCTATCAAACAATATCCGTCGTCCAACAGGTTGATGTCGATAGCGATGGATCGACGCTCGCGGTCCAGACCTTTCCAGCCAGTGACTACACGTCTTTGAATATACAGGCCGCTGCAACAACAACACCCTCGACTTCTTCGAGTACGAGTACAGATATCACTTCCACACTTTCTACAGATCTCGGGGCTCAAGCTACATCATCTGGCCAAGCCGTCCTATCGTTATCATCGAGCACTGATGTGACTTCGACTTCGACTTCCACTCCTTCCACTAGCTTTTCTACTCTCACTCCTAATTCTAATTCAACTACATGTAAGTTAAACTTTCAAATCCTTTTGGGGAAACAATGTGTTGATGGTATAATCTTAGTAATTTCTGGCTCAATTCCGAATTCGACTCCAGTCTCAGTATCGGTTTCGATTTCAGGTACATTTTCAAGTTCTACAACATTATTTTCCAATGCAACTGCTTCTCCTTCAATTTCCTCCTCATCATCCACAACATCCACATCATCCACGTCGCTCACAACTAATACTACCGCAATTCCTTTTGCTGGTTCAACTTCGACATCCTCATTCGAAACTTTCGCATCGACGATAACATCTTCGTTTTTATCATCATCTCCGTTTCTTTCTTCGGCCGCATCGTCAACGTCTTCGATCTCAGACTCGAGCACATCTTCGTCATCATCTTCGCCATCTCAGACAGATTCGACTAGCAGTAGTGTTTTCGTTGGTGGAGGTACAGGTACTGGTTCGGCATCTGGAGGTAGTGGCGCTACAAATACTGCCGTTGCTGGGAATGGTAGTAGTGGTAATGGAACAGATAATACTTCAACGCCATCGACATCCACGATAGTTGGAGGTGTAGTTGGTGGAGTAGCTGGTCTTGCAGCAATTTTGTTTCTTCTGATGTTTGTATCGAGATGGAGGAAGAAGAATGGTGGCATGTTATCTCTTGGAAGTGTGCCTGCTTCGGCGGTTGCAGGTGGTGGAAGCAGTAGAGGAGCTGGTGGGAATGGCGTCGGCGATTCGGCGAACCAAGCGCCAGGTTTCTCTAATCAGGCTCCCCGTAGCATGACAGAGCGTAGGTCACTCGCTATGGCCGTACCTGTAGCGCTGGCCAGCCTCTCGAAAAATAAGCGATCTTCTCAAAACACAGCAACTAACACAATCTCCTCAGCTGGCAGTGAAAGAGGCTTCTACAGAGTATCTGGTAAGAAGCTTCCCTCTGTTTTACAACATGGAGGTGACGGTTATGCTGAACCAAACTCGAATACATTGAGCGGATCTTCCTTCTATCCCTCTGGAGTGCCTCCTATCCCTAACTCGAATACTTTGAGTGACACTTCTTTTTACCGAGATTCTCAGGGATTTTATGGAGGACAACCAAGCCCACCTCTCGAACCCACAAATAGAGACTCTGGAGTCCCAGTCATGAGACCTAGTCCTGCGAGAACCCCCGTTACTGAACATGGCCCGTTTGCAGAACCACCCGTAGCTACCCCGCCTAGGCCGGATCTTCTGGGTCGCTCGCACCCCTCACAAGATGGCTCCCATCCCTCAAGATTTACAGAAGAAGTCTGAAATAAGAATTCTCGGCACCCTTTCGGAGAAATCCTGGGAGATTATTGGCATGGATAAATGTGAAGGGTTTCGCTTTCTGGTAGTTGTTGTGCGGCTTCTTTTTGAAATTACCTTTTTCGGTAGTCGTTGGATACCTGCCACAACTCTGCATTGGGTTTGGCGTTTTTTTCCTGATTTGCAGGATTTTTGATACCAGTGAGCGCGTGGAGATATATCTGATTTGCTGCTTCTTACGTTATGATGCCTCTGGGCAATATTCAGGGGAGGGGGTAGTCGATTTAGGATAGCCATTTCTCCTAAGATCAGTACATAACTGATACTTGTTCTTTTCCTTGGAGTGAAGTAGATGATCTTATTGGATAATATAGGCGCCACTTTATAGTAGCAGGCGAATAGCTAGGTTACAAGATCAGAGAGGATGGAATAAAAGATAATGTCTTTTTATGTATGAAACCCAGCGTGCCATTTTGAAGCTTAGATGCATTGTGCATGGTGACTTCCTTGGATGTGACCATTTGAAGAATTGAAAAAAAGTACCAGATTTGGTTGTACACAAACATTAGATTGGCTATGTATGTATGATGCTGCAATGATGTATACCCTTTTGAGTCCAAGCGAGGTTGTTAAATTCTGGGTTGGGGCCGATAGGGTCTCCCACTCGTTTCAGCAGTGTAACAGGTCAAATTATGTAGAGAATCCATTGGTTCATGTAGACACTCTATGAGGTATCTTCAACCCCGCATTGGCCGATAGCGTCTAGACTTTGTTACCGTAGTATCGGATCTAGAGAGTTGTGCTCAATAGGCATGGGACACAAATGTGATGAAATGGAAGATATTGGATCAATATGGCCATGTGATAAAAGCCTTTGAGTTGTGCAGCAGTACAATTTGAATGGAGCACAAGAGAAAGTGCGGGCCGGCCAGAAGACCAGAAACTTCGAAGAGTCATTAGCTCCGGGATCTGTACATGATCAACCTGTATATCGGAGATACCTTGAAGCTACGATCCAATGTCCGTAGCTTAACTGCTTAACAAAATATCTCCAGGGCAGCTTGCTTGAACTCTAATTCAACATCTTTTGTTAAGTATGGATTGTATTGACACACTACTCGGGTAGTAATTGTATCCAAGCGAACTCTAATATGTAGGTAATGTATTGAACACCTCCTTTTCTATTGAGTAGGTGTAGAATAAACATAAACGCTGCTTATTACTGACTATACCTCGATTCTTCTCACCAGAAAAATGATGCTTAGTCAATCGAGGATTATTTTGAGATGGGGGTAGTAGTTATTAGTAGTTTGAAATAATCATCGGTGATATGAGTCGTGAGATGGTCGGTGATCAAAAGACTCCTTTCCTGGTTTGTGTGATGCAACACTTTGAATTTCAGATAGCGAGAAGCGAGATAACGAGACAATATCTTTCTTTTCCAATTGACTTCTCTTCATTCATTCTACTGCTTCTCTATACCTTTCACTGCGTTCTTTTGTTCTTGTTGACCTTTGCCCCTCGGAACCACCAATTTTTAATCATTATGATAATCATCCTCCTTTGAAAGCTCCAGAAAGCTCAGACCATAATTAAAACACCCCTAAGGTCGGTCTTGTCGGCCGAAGCAACCCCTCAACACTACTGGCAGGTATTATTTACTTCGCCTTTCCCCCCCCTCCCCCCAAAAGTCTAAGTCGCAATACATTTCCTGGCTCTCTCAACTCTTTATTTGGCACCACACTATATCAGATCTCATCTCGTCTCATTTCAGCTCAGCATCTAATCAATTTAATCGTCATCAGGCCACTGAGCCTTCAGGATCCACAAACAGCGCCCCAGTCACAAAGAAATCTCGGCATCCAGTACATGACCTAGACTCGAGAATCATTAGTACACTGCGATTAAGCGGAATCTCACACAAACTCCGGTTCCTTGCGACTGCTCCAAGAAGCTTGTACGAATACGAATCAACATCGACTTGGATGATTTAACGGGGACTCTTAAACGACTCCAGTTACTTGCGCTTTTATTCCGCGTCGACTTGATTACTATGCGATAGTTAACGATGATGGATTCCATGCACCATGATACCAATACTTTTATGCCCCAGATTTCTGCACCGCCCATAATGAACCTCCCGCCTCAAATATTCGGGGCTTACAACGCAGATGGTTTACCGGTTTCGACATTACCCGATTTGAATGGTCCAATTTTTGGTGATGGAACTCTCCTCGATGAAAGCAATGAGGCAAAACGGAGGAGGATAGCGCGGGTACGATTTGAAGTTCTGCGAAGGAAAGTGAAATAGGAAGAAAGGCTGACGATGGCAGGCTTGTGATATGTGCCGGAAGAAGAAGATTAAGTGCGATGGAAAGTTACCAGCTTGTACGCATTGTATCAACTACAAAACAGAATGTGTCTTTACACAAGTCGAGAAGAAGAGGAATCCCCCCAAAGGGTAAGCATTTCGGTTGAACAATGTGTTATTTTGGCTGCGGATGTTGGTCGCTGATTTCCAGACAGAGCGAAATATATCGAGGGCCTTGAGAATCGTCTAGGTCGCATGGAGAGTTTGTTGAAGCTATCTGGTTTGTCCCATCAACTTAGGCATGTTCTCTGATGTTTAATGATTGACGGAAATTGTTCTAGGCCTCCTTAGCGAAGAAGATGGTGGACGAACGGATCTGGGAACATTGGAGAAGATATTACAGGAAAAGAATCAATCGCGGAGAGCATCTGCTGTGCCTGCTTCAAGCGCAACGTCTCCGACTCAAAGTACCCCGGGTGGCCCGCCCGAAGCGAATGGGTCGACCCCTAAGAGTACTATCGCATCGCCGGAACCAAATAAAGAGTCCGAGAAGCGACATAGCAAAGGCAGTAAAAGTGGAGAGACTGGTGAAAATGGGGAGCCCGTCGAGGCACTTTCAGATATGATGTGCTCCTTAATCACAAATAACTGTGGAGAAACAAGATATATAGGTACGGAATTTTGTTTATTGAAGATGAGCTATACTAACTAGTTCAGGATCATCGTCTGGGTTCTCCATATTTTCGCCAAAGGGCATCTCATGGGTCAATGAGAAAACAGGCGATTCATCCTTCCAAGAGATGATATCTTCTGCTTCCGTGGACGATAATAAAATGATGTATTGGAAGCCGGAAGTATTTTCGGATTTGTTTGCACGACCAATATGGAGGCAGCTTCCTCCCAAAAACGAGTGCGTGTCCTTGCTCAAGGACTTTTTTGAAAATTTTAATTGCATGTTTCCCCTTTTTCACCAACCTACTTTCATGCATTTGGTTGATCGACAATACTCCAACGATCCTTATGAAGGCTCCGGATGGTGGGCAAGTCTCAACTGTGCCCTTGCCATTGCTCATCGTCTCCGCGTCATGAGTCATCTCGTGCCACAAGAGGAAGACACAAAAGCTTGGGGCTACCTCAAAAATGCCATGGGCGTTTTCACTGAGCTTACGATGCGGAACACTGATTTACTCAGCGTGCAAGCTTTGCTGGGAATGGCTTTGTTCATGCAGGGCACACCAAATCCGCAGCCTTCTTTCTTTCTTGTAGCAGCCGCTATTCGACTTTCACATAGTATTGGACTTCACAAACGTGGATCCGGCTTCAACCTCAATCCGGTTGAGATTGAGCAACGCAAACGTGTATTCTGGATAGGATACATGCTAGACAAAGACATCTGCTTACGCTCAGGAAGACCCCCTGCACAAGATGACGATGATATGCATGTCGAATTACCGAGTGCTGACCCCGAAGACAACATTGGCAATATCCCTCTAGCCGATGGAAAAGGGAAAGTTAACCTCTTCCGCTTGATGTGTGAATTCTCAACTATTGAGAGCAAAGTATACAAGCAGCTTTATTCGACTAAGGCCTCAAAACAATCAGATGGAGAACTTCTGAACACCATAGGGGAGCTTGATTCTCAACTTGAAGAATGGAAAGACAGTATCCCAGTCGACTTCCGTCCAGAGCACGAGATCAAGGCTTCGCATACCCCGTTAATTCTCCACGTCGTTGTCCTTCATTTCGCTTACTATAATTGCCTCACTACAATTCACCGAATGTCTGTTCATCACGGATATTGGACTAGCCGTCTTTCTAATTACGCTATTCAAGGCCTGAATGCTAGACCTCTAAATCCTCGTGTCTTTTCCTCGGCCGCATTGTGTGTATCTGCTGCTCGGGCTTCCATACATCTTATCAAATATGTTCCCCAGGGCGACTTCGCTTGTGTTTGGTAAGCTAAACTCTCATGCTACCTTAGTTAAGAGCTGACATATCTAGGCTCATTCTCTACTTCCCCGTTTCCGCGCTAGTAACACTCTTCGGTAACATTCTACAAAATCCTCAAGATCCTCGAGCACGCTCTGATGTTCGTCTCATGAACCTTGTTGTTAACTTCCTTTCCATGTTGGGCACTGAGGAAGAAAATGGAGGTGTAAAACGCATGCTTGGAGTCTGTTCAGAGTTCGAGAGAATAGCGAAAGTCGTTTTGGATAAAGCAGAAAAGGAGACATCATCAAGAAGGAAACGAAAGAGTGGCGATGATTCGACCAAAGCGTCGCATATGCCTAAGCCTAGTCAACCACGAACTCCTATGAACACTACTCAATCCCCCATGCCTGGAGTCTTCTCTCCTAACTCGACGAACCAAATGAACTTTCAGAACGGGTTTAGCCCCATGCAAGGAGCTTCTCCGAACTCTAATTGGCAATCTGACTTTGGTCCCTCTGGAGGTGATTTTATGGGACAAAATACAGGGACACCATTTGGGAGTGTTCAAGGCTTTACAAATGGAAATGAGTTCAACTCCCCATTAAATCCAAATTCTTTCCAACAACCTTTTGTTCCTCAGGATCTTTGGCAGATGCCAATGACCCTTGAATGGGACTGGGCAGAAATGACAGGGGGCGCATATCAAAGTTTCGAAAATGGCGTTATGGGAGACCCTAATCTTCATATGAACGATAATTCACATCTACAAAATCAGGGAGGGGGAATGTAAACCAAGGATATTGGCGTTCTCATATAGGGAGATATCTGGAGATCAAGGTGTTATGATAGTACTGGGCATAGGAGGGGTTTACATCTGGCATAAATCAAGGGCTCATAGCAGTCGCTTTGCATGATGGTTATGGCGCTTTCTGGGAGGATTCGGCTGGCTTGAGGATGGTTACCTTTAGCTTTATAAGAGGTTCATAGGGACGGGTGTAAATTGGTATCTCCTCTGATCCTGTTACTGCAAGGCTACATTATGCCAAACCAATGTATTTTAATGACTTGCTTTGAAATACGCAAAATAGGCTTGTACTATTAATTTTGAGCGACATGAATGTAAAATAATAAAAGTTAAATGCTTATTTCAATATTGTTTTCATGATCGATTATCGTTGGGAAACAAAATATGTCCGAGGTTAGTAAGATTTTATTAGATATATCAATATATCTTTGAGTTTCGATATCAAAAATGCGCTAGTGGTGTAATCAATCAAGCTCATAATCGAGGCATCATAATGATTTGCCTCCCACCTCTAACTCCGACATCCACAAACCACTTCGAATACACTCTCAACCCCTCTTAAATAGTGGTCAACGTCACGGCAAGTCATTCCCAGTGACTCTAGACCACGTTTATATCTCAAATACCACACGCACAGCTCTAGCCAAGCATGACATCAATATTACGACAATGCAGCTCTCTTGCTAGAATTTCTCAGACCACCGTCCAATCTGTCGCACGAAATTCCCTCCGTACATCATCGACAGCACCCTTAATAAGGTCGCGGATAGCTACACAAAGAGCGCGCACATTCGTCACTAAGCCACCAAAGCCAGACAAGGACACGGGGAAGGATGAGTCGGAGGTAAAGTCGAAAAATCAAAAATCGTCAGAACCACCCACCAAGTCCGCACCCGGGACGGAAAACCTCTACAATGGAAAGACTCCTTTATCTCCCTCGGAGAATGGTGGGGAACCACAGGAGTCACCGCTGGTGGAAGGGTATGTGAAGTTGACGGAGGAGGAGATGAAGCAGCTAGAGCAAGTAATTGCTTCCATGCAATTTGGAAAAGGCCAAACTCAAGAATTAAGGGAAGCTTTGAAGGCTATAAATAAGGCAGGTGTGCCATCTGAATTAAGAGATTTGATGAACGAAGTGAAGGGTAGACCAATGACTTTGACGGAAGCTGCAAAATTCACAAAGCTGGTGTTGCAGATGGCGTGGTCCGCTGCAAAGGTCCAATCACAGACACAACAATCACAGGGAACAAATTTCAGTTCAAACGAGCCAGGATCTTCTACAAATGGTAATAAAGGAGACCAGAAGCAGGGGCAGGATGGAAAGCAGGGTGGCAAGAAAGGCAATCAGCAGGAAAGCTTCAACTTTGGCAACTCGACGGAGATCAAACTCGATACTACAACCTTATTGATTGGATCTTTTGCAACATACTTCCTATGGCAGACACTCTTCCCCGGCACCAACAAGAAGGATATCACATTCCAGGAATTCCGAAACAACTTTTTCGACAAAGGGTTGGTCAAGAGATTGACTGTGGTTAACAAGTCGGAGGTCCGGGTTGATCTTCACACTGAAGCCGCTGCTGCGATGTATCCAGACTCTCCTGCCGGTAACCCCAACTTTCATTACTATTTCTCGATAGGTTCTGCCGAAGGTTTTGAGCAAAGAATGGAACAAGCACAAAACGAGCTAGGAATACCTGTTGCTGAGAGGATACCAATTGGTTACGCTAGTGATGGAGATACATGGGCTCTTATCTACTCTTTCGGTCCTACACTTTTGTTCATTGGTGCTATTTTCTACATGTCAAGGCGAGCTTCGGCAGGTGCTGGAGGCCAGAGTGGCATTTTTGGAATGGGAAAAAGTCGAGCAAAGCAATTCAACCACGAGACTGATGTAAAGGTTAAGTTTAAGGATGTTGCTGGTATGGATGAAGCAAAGCTGGAAATTATGGAGTTTGTCTCCTTCCTAAAGACACCTGAGCAATTCCAACGTTTGGGTGCTAAGATTCCTCGCGGTGCTATTCTTTCTGGACCACCAGGTACTGGTAAAACTTTGTTGGCAAAGGCAACAGCTGGTGAATCTCAAGTACCATTCTTTAGTGTCAGTGGTTCCGAATTCGTAGAGATGTTTGTCGGTGTTGGAGCATCGAGAGTTCGGGATCTTTTCGCCATGGCCAGAAAGAGCACTCCTTGTATCATCTTCATTGATGAAATCGATGCTATTGGAAAGTCTCGTGGAAAGTCTGGTGGATTTTCTGGAGGTGGAAACGATGAACGGGAAGCGACACTCAATCAAATTTTGACCGAAATGGACGGTTTCAACACGACTGAGCAAATTGTTGTTCTTGCTGGTACTAATAGACCTGACGTACTCGACAAGGCTCTAATGAGACCTGGTCGTTTTGATAGACACATTTCTATCGACAGGCCGACCATGGATGGTAGAAAGCAAATCTTCAAGGTTCACTTGGGCAAGATTGTTACCAATGAGAATATTGAGTACTTGACTGGACGATTGTCAGCCTTGACTCCTGGTTTCTCTGGTGCTGATATTGCCAACTGTGTCAATGAAGCTGCTTTGATTGGTAAGTATTCCCTCCTCAATTTTTTGACTATTACTAATTTCAAATAGCTGCACGAACACAAGCCAAATCTGTAGCTATGTTACACTTTGAACAAGCTATTGAGCGTGTTATTGGTGGTCTTGAGAAGAAATCTCTTGTTCTATCACCAGAAGAGAAGAAGACAGTTGCCTACCATGAAGCAGGCCACGCAATTTGCGGTTGGTACTTCAAGTGGGCTGATCCACTTCTCAAGGTTTCCATCATTCCTCGTGGACAAGGTGCCCTCGGATACGCACAATACCTCCCTGCTGGCGACACTTATCTCATGAATGTTAACCAACTTATGGATCGTATGGCAATGACTCTCGGTGGACGTGTATCAGAAGAACTCCATTTTGAGACCGTCACCAGTGGTGCTAGTGACGACTTTAACAAGGTTACTCGCATGGCTACCGCCATGGTAACTAAATGGGGCATGTCCAAGAAACTCGGCCCTCTCCATTTCGAAACTGATAGAGAAAACCAACTCATGAAACCTTTTGCCGAATCTACAGCTCAAACTATTGATTCAGAAGTTCGACGTATAGTCGATGAGGCATATGAGAAATGTCGAAACCTACTGGTGGAGAAGAAGGACGAAGTGGGTATTATTGCAGAGGAACTTTTGGCGAAGGAGGTGCTCGGTAGAGATGATATGGTGAGATTACTGGGACCAAGACCATTTGATGAGAATAAGGATTTCATCAAGTACTTCGGAGGAGGATCATTAGGAAAGAGTGCGCCGCCACCACCGGCGACTGAGAGTACGGATATGCCAACTGAGGATCCTGCTCCTCTTGCTTAATGGTCGATGGAGAATAGGATTTGAGAAGGCACTGGGGAGGAGCTTGAAAGGATTGAGATTTGTATACGGTGGGTAATCCATCACGAGATTTCTTGAATGAAGGGCAGGGATGAGGAAGGGCATATCACAATATGCCAATGAATCAATGAAGAGAAAAGGAAGAAAGAAAGAAAGAAAGGGCTACGATTCAGGCAAAGAACCAAACTTCACTCTCCTATTCTGTTTTGTGAAATAAATAGCATTTGCGGCGAGGGATTTACTTTAGATGGACTTGTGACTTGGCCGAATGGGGCTGAGATGATTGATGATATTTGAATCTGCATTATTTGGAGGGTGGGAGTGAGATGAAGTGAAGTGGAATAGGGTGGAGCGAAGTAAGAGGATGCAGAGTTCTGAGGGGTGGGGGTGTATGTATTATATTGTGTTAAAGAATGAAATATGTATCATCTTCAATCTCTATTTGTGGGTTTTGGTGGTGTTCTTTTCTACAAATGGCGAGCTTGGTCCAGTCATGATTCAGATAATAGGAAACCCCAATCTCTCAAGGTTTTCTTATTGAAAATCTACCATTTTTATTGCATTATACGATGATATTCGGCTCTTCGAGCCTCTAAATTCATCCCCACAAGATCTGACAAATCCTCGTGGAGATACCGTCGCCGCTAGTCGCGGGCAAACATGGCCTTCATCACGCCCGAACGGGCTCCCCCGAGGATGGATAAGATTATGAATCTCGCTGCTCGAGGGGCACTCCTGGTGGGGCGCAGAACTTCCACGGTCAGTGTCCTACGAGACGCAGGGCTACCATCCGAAGAGACAGCACTTGAGCATGTTCGCATACGCTTTGCTATGAGACTGGCATATAAAATGTTATCTAGCGGCTGTTACACTATCCCCTTCTTAGGTTAGCGTCGCCCTCCCACTTACAACGCCCCACATTGGAAACGTCAGGACTATCTCAGTTTCCTTCTTCTAATACTATATCTTCCTGTCCTGTTACCACAACTCGCCGAAAGGGTAAGGAAACAATCCGTCTAGCTCAATCGATTGATTAGAGGGTCAAATTCAATACACGTTCCACTATATCTGCTTTCCAGGATGTCGTCTGCAATCTTCTCCGCGAGGGCATCTGTAATAGAACATATCTAGAAGCTTCTCTTACCGTTATTCCATACAAATAGCTAAGTAGCTAGTATTTCATTGATCACCAGTATGAGCTTCTGTGAGTTCGAGGATATATCCATATAGATAGGTACGTTGCAATTCGCAGAGTCTCGAAATCAGCGTAGGGCTAGCAAGAGGCATCAGAAAGCGCAGCATTTGCTGTTTTCATCTTTTCAAGCCGTTTTCCTTCTGGGAGGATTTTGGGGTGTAGAGTTAGACTGGATCATGAAATTATCAAGAGCTTGGGTAGTTACATCACGTCTTAAGCTTTCGGTTACCATACATCATCTTCTAGTCAACCAACCTCTGAATTTGCAGCCTGTGGCCATTTGCGGAACAATCTCTGTAACTCGGGAATGTTAACACTGCGGCCCTTGAGAGAGCCCAAGAGATGTTGATGAGAGTCATATGCTTGTAAAATCCACGGTTGCCATCGAAGAATGGATAATATTGCGCCCATTGTGTTCGTAGACCCTGTGCATGAAGATAGCTTTGGACTCGAGGGCAGCATATATTCAAATGGTGGCACAAAATATCCACCGATGCGGAGCAGTCTTCATCGTTTCCATCGTCTCTCAGTCTTCAGTTATCGGGGTATCATGCACTACCCACCTACCCTAGGTAGGTTTGTTACCGACCAGCTTGTGATTGCGTAACATACGAAAGGCATCAATCCACCCTGATCTGGTGAATGGGACTCTAGATCAGTAAGCACATCGTCAGCCACGTAGTTGGATGCTGACATTCTAATACCCTGACAGTAGATGAAAACGACGCTTCGGCCGACTGGCCCCTGTTTAGTAATGTTGGAAACTCTAGTGTGTCCCTAGGGTATGTACCCCCTGTACTGGACCACCTTGAGGTGACTATGCGGAGTCTAAACACAACTAGCTTACTTATTCCAGATGATCGAATACGGAAATAGAGCCCGATCCTCACGATTCCCCGAGTAGCCGATCCGTGCCTTTCACCTGCATACCAAGGTGGAGATTCTTCTTCCCCAGCCCAAAGGCACGAGTGATTTGGGTGCTATGGTTGGTTACGGCTAACCATGGGGATAGGTGAGGTGGTTAGCTTTTCCAAAAAAGATATGCTCCTACTACCTCGGCCGCCACAGCCGTACAAACCAAGCTTTGAAGCACTTCCTGTTCGTAACTCAACAAACAACAAAGCTGTTTAATAGTGTCTGAATTCTCTCCACGGTTTATGTTTTGAGCAAGAACATAAACATCATGGCAAGCTCTATCACTAGCTCCGCATCGAAGAACAAAGCCACCATCGTGATCGTACAGGGCTCTTTTCACACTCCGGTAGCATATGAGGCCCTAAGAGAACAACTCACGTCCTTGGGGCATCTCACGATCCACCCAATTCTACCAAGCTGTACCAATATAGAGGACCCCGCATTTCCGTCCATCACGCTTATCGATGATGCCCTTGCCGTACGACTCGAAATCATCCGCCAAGTCGAATATGAAAATAATCTCGTCTTGGTAGCCATGCATTCCTATGGAGGATTGGTTGGCAGCGAGGCCATTCCCGAGGAACTTACATATACATATCGAAAGGCGCGAGGGCTTTCCGGAGGTGTAATCCATCTATACTATTTCAGTGCATTCATTCTTCCCGTTGGACAGTCGGCTCTCGGTGCTTTTGGAGAGTCTCCAAACAACGATATTAGGGTAAGCAACTTTATATATTCCACTGTACGATCTATCAATGGAGAAGAAAACTAAATATACTTCTAGCCCGACGGGCGTTTTGGTATCTTCAATGGCGCGTCCATCCTCTATAACGATCTATCGGATTCCGATGCGCAGTACTGGAGATCACAACTCATTCTTCAATCCTACAATGTTCAGAAAACGAAACTTACGCGCGCTGCATACACATACCTTCCCTCGACCTATCTCATCTGCGAGAATGACCGGGCTGCCCCTTCACAATACCAGGAGATGTTTGCATCTACTGCAGGTGCTCAAGTTGATAGGTGCAATGCAGGACATTCAGCAATGTTGAGTCAAACTGCACTACTTACCGAGAAGATTTCGACAGCAGCCGAATTGGCTATTCAGGAGGCAAACAATGGCATATAGTCACCAGGATAACTCAGCGATATGTTGCTATAGTACTACTACTAATAATACTCACTCGTAATCATCATTCGTGGAACATGTGTCCCCTTCTCAAACCCATATTCGGAAACTATAAAATTCAACAAAAATAAGCCACCCTAGGTATACCCATCAAGTTTAAACCGTTCAGCCATCAAACTCCCATAAAAATACAATACATGCTTCTACAAAATGTGCGTCGCAATTGATGCCTAATCCAAACCCAAATCATTTTCTCAAGATTGCTTTTGTCCCAACTCCATATCACCTTCATACTCATCATCCCAATCTGAGCCCGAACCGAGAATCTTCCTACCCACAAAAATCCCCGCTGCCGTTCCAATACTAGCAACCAAGAACCATCCCTCAAACCAAGTTTCTACAAACCCCGGTTCTAATGGACTGCCAAGTGCATCGCTTACTACACTCTTCATCTCTGATGGAAGATTACTTCTCAGAAGTAAAGCGTTTGATATGACATACATCGCGCTGATTTGTGCAACGATGAGTGCCAGATTAGCTTGAGCTTGGTAGAGGAGCGACGGTGAGATTTTAGTGAGCATATGAAAGGTCTGAAGTACGGAATTGAAGGAGGCGAAGAGGATTACAGCCGATAAGAGAAAGGATATTTGACGAGACCATGCTAATTGATCGAAGGCTGGATTTACATGCTTAGCGAATAGAGAGAGAATACGATTAACCGGATCCGTGGATGAGGAACTGAAGAATGCAGGGTCGGTCGGAAAGAGAAGACGTCGAAGAACGGCTAACGTAGTCGTTCCAATGCGATATATACAATACAGCGAAAAGGCGTAAGAAATGGGTGTGAAGACAATTTTACCAAGAGGTGAAGAGGATCGTTGTTTCGTTGCGTAGCGGTTTTGCAACATCGATAACGAGGTGGAAAGGTTTTGAGCCATAGACGAAAGACCAGATATCTCTAGCTCCAAAGCCTTCAATTCTTGTACTTCAGTATTTCCCCGTATGCTTCCAATAACCTTCGTCATGAATCCTTCAGCTGGATGATCGTTAACTTTGCGCTGAAGAGCTCTCAATCGACTTCGCTTTACAGCAAGCATGTCATTCGTGGCATTTAAGCCTGCTTGTTTCCGTGCGATATCAGCTTCTGAAACAGGTTTCGGCCTTGCACCAAATGTTTGCCAAGGAGCAGAGACAGCCGCAAACCCAGAAAGTAGAGCCATCAAAGAAATCCCGATGATACCAACTCTATCCAAACAAGCTTCGCTAAGTCCTTTACCGGGTATGGATGCCATTGTGTGGATATAAGTTCCCGGTATCCCTTTTCCCAACCACCAAAAACCCATCAACCATATTGTAAAGCCAGCAGCTTGAAGGAGCCAGGCAGTCGTAGAAAAGCCGCCTTTCTTCGATACGCTGAATGACCACCCAAGCCCTGCAATAATTGATTGTAATTCGAGAAATGGTATAAGAACAACGAGTAGGAATAAAAGTGTAGGAACCGTTATCTTGAGCGCAAACGCCCTCGCCGCTGGATTTAGGTAATTCGAGATTTCGCAAAGAATCAACTCTGCGAGCACTGTAGCAAGCGCAATGGTGGTAGAGAATGAGATAGCAATAGCCTTCCTTCTTGCAGTTTTCTTGCCATATTCTTTATGCGATTGTCGCAAACTGGGAGGGGCATCGCTAGGGAGATAATGAATATGATCTTCCTTGGACTGTTGTAGACCGGCTAATAATGGGAAGAGCTTTTGGAGAACGACGAGACTGACAACGAGAAATGTTAGAATCAAAGGAATAGAAGAGAAAGCGAGTGTCGAGATTGATGCAGAGCTCAAAGAGCGGTTTTGATGACCTGGCATGACACAGGCGTCGTCGCATTTGTCGTCTGGAAGTAGGGGCATTGATTGCTTGGGTAGATTTTGTATCTACCTTTACATTATAGATGTCGATGTTATAGAGATATAAGAGAGGTGCTTTTCCATACGGTTTGACTTTAGTGAGAGTTTGAAGTTCATATGGTTTCTGGCTATTTTCGCACATGAAACTGGAATTTGGGAAGGTTCAAGAAAGAGCGATCGATTGGGCGACCGCGCTTTCGAATACGATAAGATTGTGATAATCTACACGTGATGTCGTCAACAAAGGAGGGGTGCACTATTTTTAGATAGAATGACCTCTCAAACCCATCCATCCTTCTTAAAATCTGTTAACCTGCTAGGCGGATTTAATCAATCTGTGCATCACCCGCAGACAACAAATTGAACTCTCAAAAACTTTGTTATTTCGCTACGATATTAACCATATGGGTGACCTAATAGGTACTAGGTACTAGGTACCTATGGATATTTCTATACTACAAGTTTGAGAGTACCCTCCTTGTCATCCACATATACAGGAAAAACTATCATGTCATCAGATGCTTCCAAAGCCGTAGCACAAACAGACCATCCTTCAAGGGGTATCTGAACCAGAAAATACACAAAGACACATACTCCTCATGGTAACGCTTCCCAACCCTAGTACATAGCTTGACGTAAGGGATAGCGTTCACCAATCTTCAGCCTTTCCGGATGAATCGAAAAGTGTTCTGGTCGACGAATCCATCACCATCACCAATTCTGTAGGCGTCAAGTCCAGGTGCATGAATTTCCACAGCCGGAATAACCATGCCCGTTGTTACGCCATCGCTTCTTCTTCTTACCCTCTTACTCCCCATTGTCTTATTCTCGCATACTTATCTAGACCGTCAGCACCTTCAATTTTGTTTTCTTTGCCCTCAGCATCATTCTCTGATTCGTCCTCCATATCAATGTTGAGAGGTTGGAAACGGTTGGCCGAAGGCGTGTTCTGCTTCTTGGTGATGGGAGGATTGCCGAATTGAGGACTTGGGCGCCTGGGTAGCGGTGCTGCACATTCATCATGATCCCATTCAATCTTCGAATTCTTGTAAGCGCTAAAAAAAGTATTAGCGAGCTCTAAATTGATAGTTGAAACCAACGTACCCACGGCTCATCATGCAAGTACGAGCAAACATTGCATTATGAACAGAATTGGTCGAGATGAAAGCATTGGAACCAATGAACACGACCTTAATCAATACGAGGTTATGGATGTGCTCGAGATCATCACGGATGACTTCTTCGGTAAAGTCAGGGTTGCACTTATGAATGACAAGGTTTCTAGTAGCTCCGATGCTTATTTTATTCGCGATATGACCTGGTAAGATGAATTGTCTATCATTCCATCGAATATCGACCTACTGACTGTCAGTTGTTTGAGCATGGATATATATTCAGGACCACGCACCCTCTTTGAACGGATATACAAATCATTGCGTTTGACATGACGAAAAAACTCATTAGCTTGGGTCTGTTCGAGGAACGATACCATCGCAGTATGATCATGAGTGCGAAGATACATATCTAACAACATCCCTCCCCTGACAGCATCGCAAACATCTGCATGTGTAGTACCATCTGGGAGGTTGTACAACTGTATAGTACGCTTGGCAAACTTCTCATAAGATGGGCGCTGAGACTTAGTCTGCGAATTGCTTTCGGTCTCAAAATCGAAAGTATCATTATAGTCGTCGTGAACACTGGTATGCAGATTTTGGCTCAGAGTCTCTTGATACGGAAAGTTATGAGTTTGAGAGCCTTTGTATTCCTGAGGACGACTTGCAAGTATTGTACCAGTTCGTGGTGTGCCATATGTATAAGCTTGGTGGCCATTGTTAATATGACTCGATGGAGGAGGAATTTGTCTCGTAAAGGTAGTGCTTTCATCAGGATCCTCATGCGTCGCGGACACATTCGAGGCAGCATTCTGATCGGCTCCATTTTCATCGCTATCCTTGATCAAGACCTTCAAAAAGTCATGTTAGCAAACAAAAGTCTGTAGGTACTTGGATGCCACAACTTCAAAAACTCACATTCAACATCTCCTCAGCAACACCACCGTTAACAAGGCTGCGTCGCAGATTCTCTATGTTATTGAATCAGTCTCTCATATTCGTCATATGAGCAATAGCTCTCATATTTATGAATGAATGGCGTACCATATTCACGAAAGGATTGCTTCTACCATAAGAAAGAGTATTAGTTGAGGTTTCTGTCAATTCACAATGTGCAATGGGATAAGATACTCACCAAGGCATCATACTCCTCTTTCGAAATTGTAATCTTATCGAAATCTTGAGAAACATCAAAATCACCATCCTCCGAACCGTTCTACACATAAACAAATAAGTATTTGACGCTCAATCGATCTTTCAAGAAATATCGATATCGACATACGAAGTGAGCTCTGTTGCGGGGGAAAACGGTTAGTGATTGCACGCAGCTAAGACATTGCGTACATTTCGTACAGGGTTAAAGGAAGATCATTCTTTTTACCTTTCCCGCAAAGCTTCCAAATAGTTCTTCTCGATAGTCACCATAACATTATCATCAGAATCCATATTGAAGAGGATGTCGAATACAATCAAGTATTCGGTTTCAAACTGATCTTCGAAGGAGGATAGCAAACGAAATCAAACAAAGTGACTTTCTCATGTAATAAGGCTGGAGCTTTCCTTTTTTTTTGGTCCTCAATAGTAACAGTTGGAAAGTGCTCAAGCTTGCTCTATGGCCGGGGGTTTGCAGGGGTCAAGCTAAAAATGTGAGCCAATCAAAAGATGATGATGTATTTAACTGCCACTAAACTTTAATAAAGCTTGGACTGGAAGTGGGGCGAGGTGGGTTTGATTCGCAATGTTTACTTGAACATATATAGCAGGCCACCAGGCAACAAGAGATACTGAGGTGAGAAGGTAGATCATTGATGATATGGTCCTGCATTACATTGCTAACCTACTGTTACAGATATGATAGATAGTATATCCGTTCTTCCATCTACATTGCATTGCTTATTTAAACATAGGTAAGCAGAGACTTCTGCTTCTCACCCAGATATGAGATGAATGATATGATTACCCTCCTCCAGCTAGTCGAGGTAGTCGAGGTAGCCGAGACATCGGGTCTATATCCGTTCCGAGTCCCTTTGAGTCAATATTGAAATCCTACCTTGTTTACACATGCAGTCAGATACGAACTACAAATATCAGCAGACCAGGGTCGTCACATATCAAAAACCGGGGTATCGATTACCAGATACGTCTCTCAATATCCGATATGCTGAATGCATCTCTTCTCCTGCAACACTGCAAGATGATAAGATTCAAGAAAAGGAGTAATGATAAACGAATCTTAGATTGGTGGATATGAAACTCGGATAGATGATTTCGGGCTTGGGATACCTCCAGGACTACTTGCATCTTTGATCTGCAGCCCTATTCGGAAGGTCATCTCTTTTGGGTTAGTGAGGGATTCAAGAGTTTGTAAGCTGCTTGCGTGCGGGTGCTTGTAGGGGTATGTCGCTATTTTCATTATGTTGTAGTTGAATACCAGTGAGTATTTAACAGTACTTTGAAATCTTGAGGACATTAGGATACAAAGTCAAAGATGTCAGCAGAGGGGCAGCCGCGGTGAGTGGTGTGTTTGGAAGCTCGAGCTCCTTTATTCTTTGAATGTTCCACTTTCTAGAAAGCTACTGGTAAATTAATCAGGAACGGAAGCAGCATCGATTACGTTGTGAAATTGGCCGTCAATCTCTTTGTTTCAGATCGTTTATTGTTACATTGAACCAGCTTTACTTCATTCATTCATCACTCTTTGTTCAATGTGCTTAGCAAGGAAACTTCAACCAGAGCATGAACCTCTCTCAGAGTTTCTTGTCTAGATTGACAACAGTGACTTCGACAGCAGTGGTGAGTTCAACATCAAGGATCAAACCTTCAAACATCCTGAAGTTCAATCGACTTCTTGATATCCTGACAAATTTGACTCTTATCCTATCAACTAAGAAATGACACCCCGTTCCTCCCCCGCTCCCAATGCCAAATCAGATACCCAAGTAAGCTTAACTAGTTCACGAACCTCCTTATCATTACAATACGCGAGATTCCACGTCCACACAAACCTTCCCCATCCCTCTTCCCCATCAAAACCACACTAATTTCTCCCTCTCTCCCTCCCAGTGGCTCCACGATCTTGGTTACCCCACTGGTTTCCAGTCCTTCAAACTCGACTACGGCTTCTCAACCGACGACGCACAAGACCATCTCGATGCTCTAGCTCTCTTCCACCAATTCCGCACCGAACAGCAAGAAATGTGGGAAAAGAGGCACCCCTCATATTCACTCTCACACTCATATTCATGTTCGCATTCACAATCACAATCTACAAAAACAGAAAATAAGCCGAAAACAAAAACTAATGCAAAATCGAAATCGATTTCAAAACTGGTAATCGGAGATCCACACACGTGTACGAGAACGAGTATGTCTGTTTATGCCTTTGAAGAATCTACCGGTGAAGCGGAGGAGAAACGTTTGAAGATATGGGAGTAGAGAAATGATGGGGTTGAAAAGTGATCGGGGAGGGCAGATGAACCTCTACTACGGTCGTCTCTCTTCGCCCTGCACAATACTTACTTCTATCGACGGAAATTGAAATGTATTTTTAAATCTTCTGATTCATCCATCCATCCATCCATTCAACCATTCAATTGCCTCATTATCCGAAACATAAAGAGCAAGCAAAAAAACCTCTTGACTTAAAAAAATCCAGTGGGTATGCTGTTCTCCAATTCCACACATCGCCCAGGAAGACAAATAAACAGTAAAATTCTGAGAAGTATCGTCTCGTCTAATCGGATCAAGTTTCTTTAAAAGGGTTTATATTGCCTACAATCTTGATCTATGTGGATGGAATGACCTAGATGATACTTAATGTAAAAAATCTATGAGATTATGAGGCGGAGAATTAAGTAGTTGGCTAATATATGGGGGTATAAACTAAATCACTATCTCGTCTGGTGGCTCTCTCCTCTCTCCATCCAATATAATTAGGATGCTGTGGAAATGAGTTGCGTAAGTTGATCTGCCAGAAACTTTGCAAATTCCTGGTCATTAATAGCATAATCTTTTTCCAGTACCTCGATTCCAGTCCCGTCTAATCCATCTTTGATAGTTTCAAACAGCGTCTCATCGGCTTCAACATCATAGAACTTGCCTCCCTCCACAGCCAACATACTTATTCCCTTCTTCGGTAAACACATCTTGACCAACTCCTTCCTCTTGACCTTTTCCTTCAACCTTCCAGCAATAAACTTGCCAATCTCGACACACTCATTCTTATTCGTCCGCATTAACGTGACTTCTGGATTGTGCTGCACCAACAACCTTTCGTCATATTTCTCCGGCACCGAATCCCTTGGTCCAAAATTAACACACTCACACGCACCCACACTTATCACTTGCGGAATCCCCATTTCAGCCGCGGCGGAGAGACGTTCTGGACCGGCTGATAATACACCTCCGCAAACATGATCTGTGATTTCCGTCGTCGTAATATCGAGAACTGCATCGATGCGTTTTTCGCGTATCAATCTCTCCATTGCTTTTCCTCCGGCGCCGGTAGCGTGGAAGACATATATCTCATATTCATTTTTTAATCTGTCGTCATTTTGGAGGATTTCTTGTACCTTTTCTACACAGGGTGTGGTGATGCCAAACATGGTTAATCCTATTCCTTTTTTTCTCGCCTCGTTCTTCTCTTCTGCTTGTCGTCGAAGCTGATATGCTTTCGCGAGTCCGGAGACCGCTCCAGTTGCATTGTCTAAGATTCCTTTGAGTATGGAGTTAGTGCCCGCGATGTCCACGACGCTGTACATCATTGTGATGTCTGTTTCGCCAACATATGGTCCCGTGTTTCCACTGGCCATGGTGGATACGAGAATTTTGGGGAATCCGATGGGGAGAGCGTTGCGCATGATGGATGCACAGAGAGATGTTCCTCCGGATCCACCGAGTCCGATTATAGCATGAATGGAGTTTTTTTCGAAGAGACTACGTGTGAGACCTGTAGCGCAGAAGGAAATGTGCTCGATATATTCACCGCGGGAAAGGTTTGAGTAATCGAGGGGGGAAGAGGCATAGGAGAGGATTTCGGATTGGGTAATGCTTATTTCGGGATCAGAGGCGGGCTCGCGTCCTACGTCTGCAAGGAGAACTTTGGTGTTGGGTTGGGAGTGCGTGAGGATCTGGGTGCGAAGGTAGAGGATTTCTTCGCGTTTGGAATCGAAGGTTCCGAGGAGGAGGATAGTAGGATGTGTCATTTTGTTTATGGCTTGTGAAGTTGATTAGAGTGAAGCATGAGGAATTTTTTATAATTATCTGAAGTTATGGGCGAGGTATAATAGTAATGCATATGCTGCCCTACCTACGTTAGTAGGTGCTGCAGAGTGACGTTTCTCTTTTGATATTGTTGTGTTGACATTGACACAACTCATGAGAAGAATGAACTAATACCAACTTCAAAACAACAACGCCAATAGTCTAACGCTCGATTCGACATGTTCATTCGTAAACGAATCAATTCGAATGCATCCGTTAATAATGACAATTCATACCATTATCTCGATGAAACCGAGTTCCCCACCATAGCTACAAACAACCTCCAAGGCAATTTCGGGCCGGTGAGATTCTAGTGTTGAATCTACAAAATATGAGGGGCCATTGAGGGGCTCTAGAGGGGTATTTTGGCCAGGGCTGGAGTTGCCAAGGGTACGTCAACACTGCACAGGCATGTTTACGAGTCAAGCTGTCAACCCCCACTACCACATGTCGTCATTTTATGCAGAGAGCTACTTTAATTTGGGGACAATTGGACGACTAAGACTTTTTGTATCGGATTTTTGAGACAGTGGGAATGATATATATCGCACCTATTCATACCGTCAATATTGCGGTATCTCTATTTATTAACTCGATCTTGCACAATGACGAAAGCTACAACCCGTGATGTTGTTCTAGGAAGACTGAAAAATGCAGTCAAGAATAAGGAGATTATTGTTGGAGCAGGAGCAGGTAGAATTATTCGTTTCCTCATGCATACCATTGGACCAGTGAATCAATGACTAACAGACTTACAGGAATCGGTCTATCAGCCAAGTCTGTGGAAGCAGGCGGAGCAGACCTCATTATCATATATAATTCCGGTCGTTTTCGTATGGCAGGACGTGGCTCACTAGCTGGTCTCATGCCATACGGAGATGCCAATCAAGTAGTCGTTGAGATGGTTCGTCTAAATTTCTCCTCTCCCACCTTCACCGTGTCCCAAAATAACCAGGACCTAAATCTCACATCACGACAGGCCTCCGAGATCCTCCCTATAGTAAACGATACCGGTGTTCTTGCCGGCGTCTGCGCTACCGATCCTTTCCGTCATATCCCCACCTTCCTCAAACAGCTGAAAGATCTCGGCTTTTGCGGGGTGCAGAATTTCCCCACCGTTGGACTTATCGATGGACGATTCCGAGAAAATCTAGAGGAGACGGGGATGGGATATGAAAAAGAAGTTGAGATGATCCGTGTTGCCCACGAGCAAGATTTACTTACCACACCCTATGTTTTCAACGCTGACGATGCGGTAAAAATGACCAAAGCAGGCGCGGACGTATTGGTAGCGCATATGGGATTAACGACTAGTGGGACGATTGGTGCCAAGACCGGAAGCAGCTTAGATGAGTGTGTAAAGGCTATTCAGGAGATTAGAGATGCGGCTGTGAAGGTTAGAGAGGATATTATTGTTCTCTGTCATGGGGGACCTGTGGCGGAGGAAAAGGATGTGGAATATGTTTTGGCGAGAACGAAGGGGATTCATGGATTTTTTGGAGCGAGTAGTATGGAGAGGTTGCCTGTGGAAATTGCTATTAAGGATAATATGAAAGCATTCAAGGAATTGAAGGTTGGAAATTAGAGGAAAATAGGTAGAGTGTATTATTAGACGAATAGAATGTTGATCTAGCATTCGAAAACGTAAGTATGAATAATCCACTTCACTTCTGGCATACAGACGAAAACACCTAATTCAAGAGCTGCAGTATGACCAGGAAGAGCATAGCATCAACCGACATGAACCGTCTACCCAAAATCACGAGTAGATACATTTCAAAACTAGAATCGAGTTCCAAGATACATGTGAGCTAATTCATTGCATTATTTACCTCAGACATATACTTGTTATTCTCTTATTCTTATATCTCTGCTTCTAATGACCTAAAGCTAGGTATTTATTCAATTATCCAGATAGCACTTGAACCCGCCATTCACTCCTTCTCGCTTCGAAAATACTTCAGCAAAAGATCATTCTCGGTAAAAAGAAACCTACTGCTACACGCCTGGTTATGAAAAAGCTTTTCTTTTCTAAGTCCTCCGGCTGATAGTAAATCTGCCAAGCAAATAGATTTATAGAGCTTTAGCGCTTGAACTTATATATCTCCTTTCAAGTCTTTAGACTTTAGTCTGATGATGCTCCTTTCATTACTCGAGACTTATATTAATGATACAGTCATCTATTTCACTGCAAACTCGCAGTGAGCTTACCTCGTCTATTCTCTCTTTCATCGAACCTCCAGACAGCACAGCGTCGACTATACCAGATTCTCAATTGTGTCATAATATGTTTTGCACAGATCTTTGATAGATGCATCATCAACCATCATCTCAGAAGTCGTCTTTGAGTATATAAGTTTTTTTTCTTATTTTTGATGCCATATATATAGGTAGCCAATAACCAGTAATATATGAAGAGAATATGCTCAAACCAGAAGATCACCCTTTAGCTTCTAATAAGATGATTCAAATGTAGGTAATTGCGCCACGGGGTTCGAACATCGAAATGCTACTAGAAGAGGATGTGAATGACTGGCGATTAAATTATAAATTTTCAAGCGTCGATTGCAACAAAATCTGACCAACCTCTTTTAATTTCCAATCTTGACATTAAATCGTGTTAGTGTGTTTGGCACCTGATTGCCACTTTTGTTTGAGCAGCTGGATTAGCTTTGAAAGGGATATAGTCCTTTCCCTGGAATTTTTGGTATATTTCATGTACATTATGACACATTTACCTACATAAGGTAAGCTACTACATCTTCGACCCAACATACAGTCAACCGAGCCAACGATATACCTCAATATCGACGATCTAACCTATCACTCTACCTCCAAATCCTACTGGTCTCCTCCTCCCTCCATTCTCTGGGACCACAGCCATGACCTTGTAGACCTTTCCCATACCACTTCCTCCTCTATCAACCAATCGCTTCCAAGCACCCTCAACCCTCTTCTTGACCTCATCATCTTTCTGTCCCAAACTTTTAACCAGCATCTCTGCCCGTTCCTTAATTCCCATACTCTCCAACCACCCTCCTTGTTCCATGGGTCCATGGACTTCTACCCCTTCACTCGCATTCATAGCTGCTTCGGCTAAAGCTATAAAATCTACATCCGCGCTTAGATCTACGATTCCCGGTTCGCTAAGAGGAGAAACTCGTTGATGTGCTTTTATTCCTCGAAGAGAATTGGTTGGAATGGTATCACTTGGTCCATAATCCAGAATCAGAGCAGCGCCAGAAGGATTAGGTTTAGGGTTTGTTTCCGAACCACCAATACGACTCGCGAAATCAGCGACAATAGCGTGACTTTCGGGAGATATCTCGATTAGCGAATCAGGTATGGATTTTAGAGCTCGATAGCGAGTGGAGATTTCGGGAAGATAAAGGGAATGCGGGGTTGAGGCTTTGGAAAGCGTAAGTTGAAATTCGGGAGGGGGAGATTGAGACTGAAGAGACTTTGGCGTGTGGACATCGTTGTGAGTGCTGTTTGGCGGGGTGGGCGAGACAACCATTTCGCGCCACTGAGGTGTTTTGGCTGTGGATGATTTGGAGGTGGAGGGTGCAAGTGGATGAGTACCAGTGGGTGTTTGAATTGTGGTAGGCTCTGGAGCATTGGGGTTTGGAGGTACGGACTGGAAAGCGTGTATTGGGAGAGCATCGAAGAATTCGTGGGCAACGATGAATGGAGTTTTGTCCGCGCCTATAAAAGTTCAATGAAAGACCTTTAATTTTGCAGCTTTTACACAATCTTACCAGAAGGTACAAATCTCATATTCTCAGTCCACATTATAGGAATGCCAGCATACTTGCTGGTACTCTTAAATCCTGTTTCGGTCTCTATCATAGGGGCATCGCCACACAAAAGCTGTTTCTGCGCGTCTCTCAAAGCAGGACTCGCTTCTACCATATAGACAGCTTCTAAACTCTCAGCCATGGGTTTGAAGTTTCTGATTGTCTATACAACGTATTAGCCCACATTCAGAACTAGAACAAGAAAGTCTTAACCAGACCCTCAGCATATCATCCATCAAAGTGCCCCTCCCCGGACCTATCTCCACCAATTCAACACCCTTTCTCTTCTTTCCTTGAGCCATCCATTCTGCAACAAACCAAATACCAACCAACTCCCCAAAAATCTGCGATATTTCTGGCGAAGTAATAAAATCGCCCTTTTGTCCGAACTGATCTCTCCCTTCTTGTTTTGAGGTATAATATCCACCTACATCGGACGTTAAGCACATCCGCATGAACGAAGCCAAAGGAATTGGTCCTGTAGCCTAGACCATATCAGCAAAGTGCCCGAGTATCCAAAAAGATATAAAAATCATACTGTGATAGCTTCAGAAAGCTGTTTTGCAAGGGGTGTAGACCATTGTATCGTCTCCGTTGAAGACCATCTCAAAGCCGAATACGAAACCCCATATCTGCATTTCACAGCACAACGCAAAGAATTACGCGTTTGCAGTAATAATCTAGATCTCATTTTTGGTCTTCTCTAATGTTTTCAGTGCATTTCACTTCTTTTTAAAGCTCATTGCAAGGGTAGAAAGAAAGGTTATAAAATTGAAAGCCTTGCAACCTCGCTTTGCCTCGTCTCCTGGCCTTGTCGTCATTGGTGATCCAGAATCCTCAGCCTCGACTTCAAAATTTACTGCAACCTAGGACCTTATCTATCACTATCGAGATCTTGTTGTATTCTAGAGGTCCAAATAAAATTTTGGAATTTTATGAGAAGTACATATTTTATTAAATATTTAGAAAGGTCAATATTGCGCGACCTCAAAAAGAATTGACTCTTCAGATTTGAGAGAACAGTTGTTGAATCCGGACGAGGGGCGTATTGAGCTTCAATTGCACACTTAACAGAAGGCTGGACTTTATACCCAGCAAGGTTCAATTATGTCGACTCAAGCCAAGTCGCGCTGGGCAGATGATGAGGAAGATGCTGCGCTGGATCTGCAGCGCAAACGCGAAAAGGAAGAGAAGAAACGATTGAAGGCAGAAAAACAGAAGATGCTCGATGAACAAGCCGCCGCTGCTGCTGCCGCGAAATCCAAAGCTCAAGCTCCTTCTGAACCAGAAGCATCCGCCGAAAGACCCTCGAAGCGACGCCGTTTATCACGCTCTCCAGCGCCCGCTCAAAAACTCGATTTACCGCCTGCCAAACTACTGCGATTTCCAGCACCCAATTGGGGGAAATGTCGCAGCGTGGAAGATTATGAGAAATTGAATGACATAGAAGAGGGGGCGTATGGATGGGTATCACGCGCGAAAGATAGTCGGACGGGAAAGGTCGTCGCGCTGAAGCGATTGAAGATGGAGAATGTCAATGACGGGGTGCCAGTAACAGGTCTAAGGGAAATACAAACGTTGATGGACTGTGAGCATGAGAACATCGTGAGGTTAAGGGAAGTGGTTGTTGGAGAGGATACAAGTAAGATTGAGAAGTACGTTTTCTCCAATTCAGTCGTGTCATCTCTATCTTTGCTTTCACGTTTTCTCATTTGCACAGTATATAGAAAATTATAGCTAACAGACACCCCTCAGTATATTTCTCGTTCTCGACTTCCTTGAACACGACCTCAAAACTCTCTTGACATCTCTTTCGGAACCTTTTCTCCCATCCGAACTCAAGCTACTTCTCCATCAACTCACAACAGGCGTTGCCTACCTCCATAACAATTACATCCTCCACCGCGATTTAAAAACCTCCAATCTCCTCCTCTCCAATCGAGGCGTCCTCAAAATCGCTGATTTTGGCATGGCCCGCTACTGCGGCGATCCAGCTCCAAAAATGACCCAATTAGTCGTTACGCTCTGGTATCGCAGTCCCGAGCTATTACTCGGCGAAGAAAGATACGGTAAGAGTGTAGATATGTGGAGCGTGGGTTGTATATTTGGCGAACTACTGAGCAACGACGCCCTACTTCCCGGAAAAAACGAGGTCGACCAATTATCCAAGATTTTCGAACTCCTCGGCCTCCCTACCGAATCCAACTGGCCCACTTTCAAACGTCTCCCCAACGCACGCTCGCTCCGACTTCCCAAGAACCCCAATCCCGCCACTCAAGGCTCAGTCCTCCGTTCTAAATTCCCCTTCCTGACTTCAGCTGGATCATCCCTACTCTCGTCTCTTCTCAGCTTGAACCCTGCAAAAAGACCCTCTGCACAAGAAGTTCTGGAACATGAATACTTTAAAGAAGATCCGAAGATGAAGAGTAAAGATATGTTTCCTACATTTCCAAGTAAAGCGGGGTTAGAGAAGAAAAGACGGAGAAGGACTCCGGATGCTCCTCAAAGAGGAGAGGCTCCTAAGGGATTGGGAGGTGTATTGGATTTTAGTGGAGTGTTTGGGAGTGGAGGGGGAGAGGAGGTTGAGAAAGGGGCCGGATTTAGTTTAAAGCTTATTTGAGAGAGTTAAGATAGCGAGCCACTTCCCGCATGAGGGTTAGAGGATAGGCCAGTGTATGATATGGATGTATGTACTGAGGGAAACACGTGGATATACCAATTTGTGCTCTGTATAGTTTAACGAGGCAGGTTCTTGTAATTTTATAGATGTAAATCTACAGCGCACAAATTCACAAATATAGAATCAGAGAAAAGAATTGTTATTGATTATTCTAAATCAATTTGCTCTCAATCGTTCATTAAGTAATTGTAAATTTCTCCCTGCTATCTATGCATGCATGCAATGTGCTAAATCCAGGAAATGCACATTTGCCCAAACCCCAAAACACCATTACCCCAACCCGGATTTTTCATTTTCAAATCTTGCCCAAAGGAATGGTCCCCATATGCAACCCAATATCTTAACGTTCTCCCCCTCCGTGTCCTTCAATCCAACACTCCCAAAATTATAAGAAAAGAGTTGTGATCTTTATAACAATTTTTTACCAGATGACACCTAATCCAGTGACGAACCAGGTAAAGCTAAGCACAGTGATAACTCCCATACCAAACATCAATTTCAATGCCTTTCTCTCCATATCAGATAATGCCCCACTGCATGTAGCACATACCCAATCACTGAGAGGAGTGTATGGCTGTGGCGTGTACATTCCAAAAGCATATGTATCATATACTGACAGGTATCCGGGTTGAGAAAGCGCACTGATACTACTCTCTGCATCGTAGATAATCAAAGTGTAGGTTTCAGTAAGGAGAGGGTTTCCAACAGCAGTTGATTGATAGGCACCAGTATCCCAGGTTACTGCCTGCGTGGAATGCGCGACGGTTTGATTCATTGCAATAGTATATAATTGAGCATTGGCTTTGCATGTGGCCATAATGTTAACGGCAGTAGGAGTAGCTTCAAGAGATGTATAGTTCCAGGCAAAAGTAATATATTCACCAATTTTGAAGTATGCAGTGGAAGTGGCGGCAGGTGTTAAGAGAGAAATTCCACCTGCTGGGTAAGATGCATCGTAGGAAGTCGAATTGCCACCGGACGACCTGGCTGTAGATTTGGACGACCCAGATTTGGCAGTACCTGATGTTGTTTTTGATCCCGAAGTAGTAGCTCTATTTGTGCCTGAGCCTGAGCTTGTTTTCGATGCTGATTGAGAATCGGTTACAGATTGGGAACCTGTTTCTGATGCTGTGTTTGTGGACTTTGGGGCTGTAGTTGCCGAAGCAGTGGTAGAAGCAGTTTCTGATGCTGTATTGTCTTTAAAATGTCAGCACGTAAACACGGGGAAGATTGACTATGAGTTTCCTACCAGCGGCAGAAGAGCTTGAACTGTCTTGTCGAGCTACAATCAAAGAGTCCATTTCTGGAAGCCATCTTGGCCATGGCCATGCAGCTACAAATGTGGAAAAGCAGAGTAGGATGATGGAATATAGTTGGATTGATCGTTGAGCCCGCATCGTGTTTGCTGTTGATATTTTCGTACGCCCTTAAATGGCCCCAAATCTCCTGTTTGATTTCCTAAATACTCTTTCCAATCTTCAAAGTATACTTTGATCTAACACCAAAACTCCTTCGAGAAATGTTTGGTCTTTTGGATGAATGGTGAGTAAATGTTTAATGGATGTTTTGTTTTGATGATTCTTATAGTCCGATTAAATTTCGATCAAGGTTGTCCGAGTGAAACCCAAAAGTCGACTGAATGGAATAGATAATTGTCCGACCGAACGAGTGAGGTCGTGTATTTTCTTCTTTACAAGATGACTGAAAACGAAGGGATTTTGACAGTGTAAAACATTTATCGACGAGAAGATTGAACGACGTGAAAGGTAAAGTGTTGAAATTGTTGTAGGTAGTAATTCGTAAAGGAGTCCGGTAAATCGTATGGAATGAAAAGGGTATCCACTAGGAATGTCTCGAGTTTAGCACATTTTGAGTGGTCAGTCAGGTACAAGGTTATGAAAAAGTTTAGGAGACAATTGAGGCAATGCATTATTAAGATTCGAGCTACCGAGCAGATAACCTTTCTTATTCGCTCATTTGCTGTCTACCTATACGGGTTACTATTAATAGACCTTCCTGGCGCCATTCATAGAAGAAAAAGTACGAGATCTTTCATATGATCCGTCCGTATCGATTTTCACATCGTCGCGGGTGTGTAGTTCTATGCCAACCTTGGCCTCTCTTCACTTATTCATGTATATACTCATCCCGATACCATATAGTGAAATCAATAGAACAGTCTTATCATAGTCCTAAGATCTACTACAAGGGAGTAGCTATCTTCTCATGAGAGCGACCTTGAAGGGAAATATATTGGGTAGGCTCGGTAGGGTCCTGTCCTACTAGGTGTACACAGTACATTCACATATCTTTTGAGAAGCATGACCTGAAACACGTGACCTTACTTCTTCCCCTATTTACATCTCTACATATATATTGTGCCAACAGAAATCTACCGTATGGCTACATGGTAGGTAAATGGGTTTTATCTCCTTTGCTCGAGTAGTTTCTATCCGATCAGAATTTTACATGGATATGTCTTTCATCTAAACTGCAACAACTATCAACATATTAATGTCACCGTCGCCCGAGCCTGGGCCAAGTTGTGGGACACCAACACAAATTGCACGATTTTCCGATATCATTCAGACAAGCTGTTTTCTTGTTAAGGCGTCTAATAGTTCAGAGTGCAGTACAAATCGTGAGAGACCTTTAATAAACGAAATCATGTTGAGACGTTCAGTCTTTTCGCGGATCTATAAATCGAGAAACAGCGAAACGGCTTGCAGCCTGCAGTTTGGACTGCCGGATGTTCTACTTTTATTTTTATTTTCTTGGGCTTGACTTCTGAGTTCTATCTTTCTCGACAAAGAATCGGGGGAAAGGAGCCAAGATTTCCGAGAGTGTCTTTTGGTCGAGTGATCTTAAATTTTCCGGTTAGACACAATGTGGCACTCATCGGTGCCTGAGTTTAGCTTTGGCTCTCGATCACGGTTGTAAAAACAAATACTGGTCAACAGCGTTGATTTCTTGGGCGTTTCTTTTGTACTTGCTATTGCTTTGCGACTGACGATCGATAGATCAATCTGAAGGGGCCGTCTACGAAAAAGCTGCAGGCCACAATTGTACAATGACGTTGTTAACACGGTCATGCATCTGATGTTGGATCTTCTTTCCTCAAATATCTTTTATTTTTGTTTGTAGTCTGCTCTCCCTAGCTAGAATCTACGCTCCCTGATCTGCTCTTATCAAGCTCTAGCAGTTTGGTACAGCAGCTCCAAAGGCATCTGCAGTAGACGATGACAACATGCCCGCCAATAATCAGTCTTCGTACAAGCCGTAGGCTGCATCTGCATCAATGCTTGTTCCCTCTCTCTTATCTCCAACTACATCGATAGCGACATCAGCATACTACTCCAGAAAGGGGTAACGATTTCTTACTATTATCAATGGCAATTCTTTCGTAGAAGCTATCATCAACTAACTTCGCACTAAGACCATCTAGAATTCAATCAGAACAGTCAAATCACATCTCAGATGGCTTGGTCATATCGTGCAACGGCGCAAGAATCAAAAAGTATTGCTTACCAGATCTCAAAGTTGGAGACGCCATAACGAAAGAGTTGCCCACAGCCGCTAAGAAGATGATGAACTTTGAGAGGTGCATGCTGTCGGTCTGTTTTGAGCTCACTGCCGACAAGATTGATAATTTTGGAAATGCTTTGAATAATGCTACGAAAGATAGAACTATGATTTACGATGAGTTAAGGTGCAGACTAGAACAGTATTTATAGAGCCATAACCCTAGTTAAAGGACTTGTATACCTATATTATTGATCATCGCTCCCAGAAGATTGGGTGCCGGAGATTCATCAAGACTGGAAAGTTGTATTGATTCGAGCATTCGTGTTCTGTGAGCGTGCGGCGTGCTCACTTTTTGTTTTTATCCTTGGAACTATGCGCATTTCGGCCCAAAGGATCAGTGCTTAGTGGCTTGATGTCGGCGTCAGGAGATGAATTACACTCGGAACCCCTACAAATAGGTCAAGTTTACTGCATGCATCCACACAGTTGTTCCTTGCCGTCACAATTGACTTCTATTTTAGCCGTTATTCCGAACTCGTGGTCAAGGCATCACATATCAAGAGAGTTCGACAACACCGTTAAATCCTGAAAGTAACAGTCGTAGTCATTAGGTGTGATACCAGTCGCATTTTGATAATCTTGTCTAGTTTCAAACGTGTCCACCATGCATATACTTACAAATTGATCACTAGCAGAACGCTGCCCATGCATGATGTCCGGAACTAGCCTGCCTAGTGATAAATCATATGAACAGATGTATTGTATTTTTATCTCACCCTTGGTGGCGAGCAGGGCATGTGCAAATTTGGTCATGAATTCAAACACATAGAATTATAGGAAGTCACATTATGACGAATACACCGCTTTTGATATTACCAAACTCCTGAAGTTTAGAGTTATATCGCCTTCTTGTACGATAAACTCAGTGAGAATCAGGATCTATCTACAAGAAAGTTGACCTACAAAGCTAGCTACAAATTAGACATAGAAGGGACGTCTTCAGCATGAGGTCTATCTTCACGTATTCCACCCGGATATGCTGGTCCTTTAGGAGCGGTCAGAAGGCTGGCGTTGCGATTTGAGAGAAGCTTTCCACTTACCGAGAGTCGGGTGAACCAACATGCCTTCTTCAAAAATGTCTATTGAGCGTGGCTCAGCCCACTTCATGAGGCTATCCCAGTTGACACAAGTGTGCTCTTGAGTGAAATCTGGCTGCGGAAGTTTGACTGTGTGACCCCAGTGAAAAGTGATTAACGTCGTGTCGCCACGACACATGACGCTTTGCCTCAAGATTTCTATACAGTGCTCTGCACAGGAATGTCACTTTAGCGTGTTTACTTTGATTTTTCCTTCCTCAAATATGAGAGTAATAAGCGCGTACCTGTATGTTCGCCCATTGTCTCTTTTTCCTTTTCGCCATATATATGACGATAGTAATCCATGTGAAACGCTTGCCGGATGAATTTCTGCACAACGTCTAAATATTACTTGTTCATGTTCTTCTGGAAGAATATCTTCTTACCAGGCAATGCAATTCATGGAATACAGCAATTTCACCATAGTAGCCCCCACCATGGCCGAGGGGAATTGAATCCCTATTAACCTTGGCCAATTCATGTGCGGAAATGCGCATGTTCGTATCTGCTCATATGTATTAATTCTAGTGTATTGTGACTGCCAAGGGGAGTGAATAATTCACGCTTCAGTAGATCGTGCCATGCTTGATCGAGAGAAGGTGTCGATTTGCCGACATACGGGCTTGTAAGGTTTGGGGCGGCATTGAACACAAATTTCTCGTATTCAATTGAGTCTTCTGCTGGACCTGTACTGATGTTAGCACTATACAAGAACAACCTTCGGCGAGCTGTTCCTTACTGTATGTAAGTCTCTGACCGGCAGTATTCTGGAGGGGCTCGATTTGGAAGTGACGAATAATCAGAAACGTAATCAAAGTATAAAGAGCAAGTATAACCAAATGAAAGGTAAAATAAGGCAATAATTTCCAGATTCGATATTTTAAATCGCTTCTTTGAACGACTCTCTGGGCTTGCTCGATAGATTCATCTCTATCTTCATGGAGAAGACCGACCCTCTGGTACGAGTGCTCGATCATCGTTGAAAGTATAAGGGCCCTTTCTTTTTGCTCACTTTTTCTCAGGGGCAGAATAATGTCAAGTTTGCACGAGAAATTTCGACCTGCTAATGAGACCCTGAAGAATGACTCATGAATCCGTGGATGACAATATAGCATATACAACATCATGCTATGGGTTAAGGAAGAAGGACCGAAGTGACGAGCTGTCGGGTCGAGTTTTCTTCATGGGGCCTGCCGAGGGCGCTGTGTTATTTCCATTAACTGAAAAGTCGAATGGAGCCCATTGTGCTTTGCCGCAGGCGATGTAACCCAATTTCTTCAAAGCAGAGATCGGGTTACCTGAAAGAGACCAGCACACCATCAGTTCATTCAGGTCGACGCAATCCGACCAATTATCAACCAAAGAAATCATATCGTTCAGAAAAGATTAACACACCACCAGATGCGAACGTCGAATGATAATGACTACGTCTCTGTTAAATTATACGCTCTTCATCCCATTGACATACCAAACTTACACTCATTCTAGTTTATAGTCTCAAGATTCCGTGAAAATGGATATCATGACAGGAAACTCATCATTGAAGTCTGTGAGATGGTTGCGAACTACCAGATCCTACACGCCATTACTCATACAGAAGAGTTTTTGTCTTTTCTTGACCACTTTGTTGCTTTTTACCACACTTGGATTTTGTACTGGAGCATATTGGCAGTCACTCAAGTCCAACACTCCTTGTACGTCGATTATATCTATCCATGCTGTGCAAAGTCTTGCTAACGCATTGCAGTTGGCCAAGTTGCCAAGGAATTCGAACTGCACGAAATATTTACCGAGGCGCCATCGTTCGAGACCAATGCTGCGTGGGGCGAATTGATCCCTCGTAAATTTGAACAATCTTATATCCTGTGAAGTTACTAACATTAAAAATACAGGGGGGAGGGGATTTGTCGTAGTGGACTCAACCGACACCCCGGTTCCCTATGTCGGAATTGAAGCGAATTTAGCGCAGGTGAGAGCGGTTGCGGTTTACCACCAAATTCATTGTTTGGTAAGTACATCTGTTCAAGCAATCGCACTCCGCTGACCCGTATTAGAATGAACTGCGCCTTGGGTACTACGCCAATCAGACTTTATCCGTTGATCGGAATGCAACGATTCGCCAACATTACCATTCGGAGAATCATATGAAGCATTGTTTTGATTACCTGCGGCAATCGTTGTTGTGTGCATCTGATACCACATTGGAAACGCTGCAAGTAAAGAATGAAGGCAATAAGCCCGCGGTAGATGGTTGGGGTATAACACATTTGTGCCGGGATTATGATAAGGTCTCAGACTGGACATTACGTCATAGGGCTAGTGATATTGGCGGAGTATAGGGGATGCATTGAGTTCTGAGCAAGTTCATTGGAGCGAATTGAAGAAGGAGGGTGGTCATACATTTAGATATTGCAGGTGCGAGCGAAAGTATTCTGCATAGTAAACAAATGTAATATCAGAACATGCAATACGCCCATTCAGATGTTCTCTCCAAAGTCAAAATTCAATAACAAACTGGGTACCTGGGCTTTGCCCCTGGTATCTTCAATTCCTTTGCGGGAGCGGGTGTATCGGAATGCTACGGTAGAGGCATGGGTGTGTGGAGCAGAACTATGAGTTCTGGCCACTCAAACAAATACCGGACGCAACTGGCATCCAACCACATATAATTACGAAGTTCGATTGATTTAACCATGTACTAGTGTGAAGATTGCTGAGGAAATCAGACGACTGCATTTGTATTTCAGAACTTAGCGAAATCGAACTGAATTTTGCATACCAATACGAGGAGCCTTGGCTGAAAGTGTTGTAGGTTAAGCGAGTAGTCAAACACTACCTAAATACAAAAAGCCGAAATCTGGAGATTTAGCCAGCTTGTGAGATCCGCCTACATTCTCCGGTATTAAAATATACTGCCGATCTTCGGAAGTGGAGAACCAACAGTTCATTTAGATATCAGCTCAACCCTTTTCTTCAACAAACATACAGAATGATTTATACATTATATTGAATCGATGTACCTGCTCGATTCCGCCTTTTCCTTTTCTCCAGATAGCCATACAACACGACTAACTACCTTCCGGATTTAAATTCTCGTACAGAATTCCATGTAGCAGGGGAGTATTTGAATGGTGTGGAACAAATCCTTCCTACGGCGCAGTTCGGGGCAATGATCCTATTCGTTAATGGCATACAGCCAAAGCCAATGATGAAGCTGAAGTTATACTACATTGCCATCCGAAATTTAGTATTCAGGGGGCTAGAGCTATTATACACCCACACTCACGAGAAAATTTCCTGGATACTGATAAGCATGCACTTCTATAGTATGTTAGGCATGGATTTTACCGACAGGAAGTTGATCCAGCATCTCCCTCTATCCAATATAGATCAAATTTCATTATCTCCAGGCAGAAACCTTTGATGTTACTTCACAACTTCATCTTGATACCCCCAGTAGCCCCTCACTGTTAATCTCGAATAAAGCTTTCCCCATCCTCTCATGCAGAAGTCCGAATTTTTTCCTTCCCCCTCCCGAATTTCCACATTTCTTACGACAACACTTATCACTTGAAGTCAAGAGGTCCCAATCTTGTACTGAGCTGCATAATACACCATGTCATCGCTGCCATCACATCTCGGACCAGTCCCCCAAGATGGAGACATTGACCTTTCACCATTGATCTTCCGTTTGAACCTCAGTCTGCTCATTATTTCCACCCTCGTCCTCATCTTTCGACTGATTGCTCGAGCGCAAGGAGCTTGGAACTATGGCTGGGATGATTGGACGATGTTACTTGCTTGGGTGAGATCATCTGCTGATACAAACCTGAAGCGTTACTAATTATGTAGATATTTTCAGCAATAAAATTCGGTATCAGCATAGCCGCAATACACTATGGCGAGGGAAGACATATTTACTACGTCCCGGTAGCTGAGGCCGAAAGAACTTTATACTTTGTCTACATCTCCGAATTCATCTCCCTTCTTGCTATCTGCTTTGTCAAAGTCTCTGTGGCTCTATTTTTGCTACGAATTGGAAACCTTAGGCGATGGCTTAGGCTATCGCTGCTAGCAAACAGCGCTTTGCTTGTCGGATCAACCTTTGCGTTCCTTATAGTTCTCCTTGTACAGTGTCGACCCATCATCGCGAACTGGAATCTACTTGCCAAGGCACATGCAAAATGCATCAGTCCGGACACGTTGATAGATGTCTCGTATCTCACAACCGGTATGGTGGCACCTTTCTACCATTACTAGAATTCAATCGAGGGCTCACCATTTCATAGCAATTTCGATACTGACAGACCTTGTCTGTGCCGCACTTCCATTTCCAATTTTATGGGATCTGAAGATCAGCCAAAGAACGAAACACTCAGTACGCCTTGTAATGTGCCTAGGTTTCATGTAAGAGCTAATAAATTTATCGCACTAGCAGTAATATACCACAGAAGTTGGCTAATACTATACCAGTGCAGCAATTTGCGGAATCGTCCGCATCACTCACGTCAAAGACTTAGCTGGAACAAATGATCCTACATGTAAGTAGAGCAAAGCGTCCTTGAGTCTAGACATCCTCGAATACTAACGAGCAATGCCAGATTCGAGTGTACAACTTGGACTTTGGACCGCCGCGGAACTATATACGGGCATCATTGTCGGATCATTACCACCATGCAGGAAACTGTTTATAGTATTTTGGGCAAAGGCTACGAAGACGCCGCCGCCTGATGAGAATACAATTGGTATCCAAGGCTCAGGATCCGGCCGCAGTATCATACTGCAGAACCTTACACGCGTTGGGCGTGCTTTTACCAGAAGCAAAACAAGTCCTACCAACAGCACCAAAGACCAAGCATCACTCGGAGTCGGGTGGCAGACCCTTGATAATAGGCCAGAGATCAACGGCTACACTGCTAGCGATCGGAGTATTCGGCCTCTGGTAGAATTTCAAAACGTGGGAAATGTAGAAGATGGTGTGATCTGGAAGACGGTAGGTGTTACAATAACAGAGGGCGCCGCGAAATCTAAAGATGAGGCTGATAGAAGAGTAAAAGCGGCAACAAGTGACCGGTAATAAGGATCCAGGGATAGTATCTCATTGGACATATTCTAAGATAAAATTATGGCTCTTTCCAATGCTTTAATTGGAAGAATGATCCGTGCTAATAACAGTATTGACCAACAAGTAATTTCGTATCCCAGGTGGGTGGTACTGTAGATAATTGATCTGATTAAACGCCTTTCCCTTTTCAGTAAATTGGAGAAGATAACTCGAATGATAAAACATTACTAATCTGGGCTCCCTTGGACCCTCAACCGCTATATTTGGGTGTATCTTACGCATGGGGGCCTGTTTTAGGCGACACTGCGTTCAAATAATTCAACTGACTGACTCTATCCAATTACATGGGGGATAGAGGTTTCGTACAACAAGCAACTATCACTGAAATGTCCGCAAAAAATGAGCTAGCCTATGACATGTAAATTGATTTGTATCATCATAGTGTGCTTCGGAAGCATCGGCAACTCTCACTGCTTGGTTATTGCCCCCCCTTCCCCCCAATCTCTTGCAGACTGATTTTATCCGGGCTGCATGCTACCTGACATACGGAAACTTATAATAGCTATCTTATCTCCAAGACGAATCAAAATTTCCAACCCGATTTCTCCAAAAATATTCTCAGCAGTGAGCAATAAAACGACAAAATGCCATTATCGGCAGCATCAACGCTTGAACCCTCAGCCAGCATAGCAGCCGAATGCCTGGACGGAATAGAAAGAATTTCAGGAGTTTTAGACTCTTCTACACCTGAGATGACATCGCTCGAGAAACAAGGGTTACTGTCTGCGGCGAAACAGCTTGTAGAGAAATTGGAGGGACCTGAAATTGGGATTTGGAAAGTTGTCTTCGGAGTCAGTAAAAGACTTTCGCTCATTCATTATAGATAGCGTGCCAAGATAATTTGCTAGACTGCTAACAACTTCATAGCCTCAAGCAAATGCGGCGCTCAGATCAGCTATTGAAATGCGAATATTCGAGGTCTTTGAGAGCAATGATGAGTCGAGAAATGCTGATCAGCTCGCGGGGCAGACTGGAGCCGAAAGATTACTACTAGGTGAGATTTGTATCCATTACACTAGTCTTCACCTCATGAAACATACAAAATGCAGTGGCGTAGACCTAACCATTAGGCAGTCCGTGTCATGAGAGCGCTTACTTCCGTCGGAATCTTCACAGAAGTCGGCGAAGAGACATACGCCCACAACATGCGGTCGAAACTATTCACTAATACCACCTTTCGCACTATGATGCGCGGAATGTACGTATTTTCTTTCAGTCCAGCTCGATTCATCAATTGACGACAGCAAGGTCCTCGATCATGACTCCTTATCTCGTAAAGTTGCCAGAGTATCTCTCTAGCACCTCCTTCCAAAATCCAGGCACTGAGGAAAAAAATCTGTTTCAGTACGCTATGAACACCGAGATGAATTACTTTGACTGGCTACATACCCAGCCTCGCGATCTAGAGATCTTCAGCGCTGCTATGCAAGCTTCTTCACAGAGAAGTCAAGGTGCCGCGGCAAAGCTCGTGTCCTCCCAATTTCCGCTATCAGATGTTTTAAACTGCAGTACCAAGAAGTCCGAAGAACTGGAGGAAGAAAACGTACTGATTGTTGACGTTGGTGGGGGACGGGGCAAAATTTTGAATGATCTTAGAGTGGCAAGGCCAGATTTACAAGGAGGCATGATTGTGCAGGATTTGCCCAAGGAGATTGATGGGCGAGAGCCGACCCCCGGTATTAGAAGTATGGCACATGATTTTTTCACTCCTCAACCTATTAAAGGTATGTGGCACCCAAATACTGCACTATGCCTCTATAAAATATCTGATTTCCAGAGAAGGGGCGCACACCTATTTCTTCCGCCACATTTTCCATGACTGGCCCGACAATGCCTGCATCAAGATTCTCCAACGAACTATTCCCGCTATGAAGAAAGGATATTCGCGAATACTAATTGTAGATTCAATCTTACCCGATATGGGTGCTTCTCTATTTGGATCTCTTCTTGATATCAACATGATGCCGCTTTCGGGCATTGAACGTACAGAGAAACATTGGAAGAAGCTTTTGGAAGGAGAAGGTTTGAAGGTAGTAAATATACAGTGGCCTGCTACTGCTGGGGGAAGTCGAGATTGTGCTTTGGAGGCTTTATTAGAGTAGAGTAAGGTGCCACTATCACCTACTATCTTCGGCTTTAACTCATTTGGCCTCTTATTACTCCCGCACGGAAAATATAGGTTAAATTACTCAAGAACAGAATATAAAAGCATCTTTCTATTAGCAATTTCAGAAGGGGACCCGCAAGACTTCTCGTGAGCGAGTTGTATAGTCATTGTAAGGGAACGAACACTAGAAAGTCAAAGACACTCAAGAAAAAGATATTGATAGATACAAAATTCGCAGAAACTACTAACCGTGCTACCATACTTTCAAGACAGAAGTGGAGAATTTCAACGATGAAATAGAAAGTGGTGAATGAGATTCAACAATCTCCAATAATTACATACACAGAGAAAATGTCCAAAATAAAGATGCAAAATCTCGTTATTTCCCCAAAATCTCAAGCTTATTAAATCCCTCAAAGACCATCAAGAATCAACCATCAACGATCGTACCGTCCACAACCTCAAAATTACAAACTAGATTTACATTTATAGCATCTATAAGAGCCCCATTAACCCATTCCAGATCCAACCATGTGTAGGACTCCAAACCCTCCGGGCATATGGGCACATCAATCTCAGCATCAGCAGTTACAAGCATCAGTTCGTAACACAATGCTCTCCACCAAATTTTCCTCATTATGATGTGGCAGTGGTATACGAGCCGAGACCATGCAAACCCTGCTTCATCGATGCTTAGATTGATGCTACTTCGTGGACTAGAGACTTGAGTGTTTGAGTAACAGGGGAACGGTGGAGACGATTTGCCAAGTAAGGTAGATTGAACGACGTTTTGAAAGCTCAATTTGTAACAACAAACATCATCAGTAGAGCCCAAACACCCTTATATGCAGGATAGGAACTATTATCTTATTGCTTAATGAGCAGGCTTTTGGGAAGAAACGTTGTCCACTAGGTAGGTTCCGTTGATTTCTCAGATGCGCTCAGCTATGGCCAATGTCTTCGATTTTATCAAATTATACATGTCAACGAACACGAGGAGAGGGATAAAGATATCACTTTGAATGTTCACCCCTCTCATGAACAATTAGGGTAGCTAAGTCTGGCCTAGAAGCGAGTTGGAGACGAGCACGACGTGGGAAGACTAGACTAGTGAATGATTAGCGTGCACAGACCACAAGGCTACAGTAATGGCCGAGGCGGCGGCGGCGCAATATGCATTTTGAACCTCTACATCAATTTCTACCATAACGCCCATCGTCTAGGACTCACGATCACTTTATTGAATTCTCCGGGGTAAACTTCTAAAAGATATCACGGACATCTCGATACAAAATCCGCAACTGAATCTTGCTTCCTCGCAATATTATAAAAGTTCAACTTGGTTTCGAACTTACGAAACGTCCAAACCTTCCAAACCTTCATTCAAGTCTACAAGATGCCGAAAGCAGAAGTTGGATCAACGAAGTTTCTGAACAACAAGTTAAAATCCAAAGGTCTTCAGCGATTGCGATGGTACTGCCAAGTATGTGTATACTTTTCGATGATACTTATTAGCCAACTAACATTATGAACAGGCTTGCGAGAGACAGATGCGCGACGAAAATGGCTTCAAAATGCATGTACAATCTGAGTCGCATGTTCGACAAATCCTCCTAATCGGCGAAGATCCTAAAAAATATATCAACGATTTCAGTAATCAATTCCAGCGTGACTTTCTACAATTGTTACGAACATCTCATGGCGAAAAACAAGTCAATCTGAATCATTTCTACCAAGAATATATTAGCAACAAGGAGCACATACATATGAATTCAACGAAATGGCCATCTTTGACAGAGTTTGCCAAATTTCTAGGCAGAGAAAGTTTATGTCGAGTAGAGGAAACGGATAAAGGTATACAAGTAGCATGGATCGACAACTCACCCGAAGCGTTAAGAAGGCAAGATGCGATCAGAAAGAAAGAGAGACAAGACAAGGGTGACGAGGAGCGGGAGCAAATGCTTATCAGAGAGCAGGTACGTCGAGCAAAGCAAGATGCCGAAGCACGTGGGGAATCAGAAGCGGATGAGCAAGAACGAGGCCTTAAAAGAGAGGAAGGAGAGAAAATAAAGCTTAGCTTCGGTGCTAAGCCTGTTGTGTCAAACCCTGAAAGCAAAAATATTGAGCTAGAGGAGAGCAAGACGCTGGCTGGTGACGCGCCTTCTCTTGAAACTGTGAAAGACGAGGACAAACCTTCTGAGACACCGACCACTGGTGATGATAAAATCACAGAATCTTCAAATCTAGAAGCAGCGCCATCAGCACCAGCCAAAGTTTCCTTAAAGATGGGATTCCAGAGCAAACCAAAGAACGTCTTTGCAGCGGCTAAAAAGAATGCTTTAGGCGGTAAGAAGGCCCCCGTATTTGAGCAGCCGAAAAAAATGAGCGAGGCAGAGCGTATCATGAAGGAAGAAATTGAGCGCAAGAGGAGCAGGGAGCAATCAAATGGAGGACCATCTCATAAACGACCACGATTTTAGTTCCCTAGCGATCATGAGGGTTGGCACTGCACGGAGTTATATTTATAGGCACTTTACGGTGGAAGGAATATGGCGTTATATTTGATACCACATGCATCCGTAGTAGAGCCAAGGCAGGATGTCCCTATTTTTCAAGGAATTTCTGTTCGGCTTCATTGATTGTGTGTCAATGATTTTACTCGGCTCTCAGAAGTCTACATTCTTCCACAAATGGTCGTGAAATAAAATCTGTTATAATATATCGGGCAATTGATACTGCTTGATTCAACCAGACGCTTCAGAGCTTTTCCGCGTCTCATTTCTTTGTATTTGTTCTTATACCATGTCCAAACTCCTTTTAACTCCTTCGCGCTACGAACATTATGCACCCTTTGTCCGGATCCAAATTCCTATCCCATAAAGCGTAGTTGATCTAATGAAAAATCAGCAAAGTTCATGATGACTGTAGTCCTAGTATGCTTGGCGAAAGACGACTCTAGGGCAATGATGTGCTTGTCTATGGCTTGGTCTTTCAAGCTCCAAGATAGGAAATACTATATAAGTTGCCAAATATCATATTGACTCCTCATCATCTCGTTCCCAAACGGCGAAAGCTCTTACCTTGACTTGCAAACCATCTCTCAAATCTCCTAATCCGCTTCAGTAGCACTTCCATCTCTCCTACATCCATATTAGCTCCAATTTATCACATAAACCCCCATTCCATCACAGAACAACTCACGGAATATATTTGACCCTCGCCTCTTCCTCCATTGTCGAAACAATTTCTTCCGGCAGTTGTCCATTGACTTTCGTCGCATAAACACCTCTCACATATCCATCCAGCCGCTGCCATTTCGCGACCCAAGATTTGGATGGATCGGCCAGTGTAATGAGACCTTCAAAGACTTGAGATGTGCAGTCGATGATCGCTTCCATAGATCCTTGCAGATGGAGGAAATCTTCGCAGTTGGGGCACCCTTCTCGCATAAAACGCTGGAAGGTTGTATGTTAATTTTGGACTATCAAGTAGAGATGAGAGGGAAGAATGAAGGGAAGGTAGATGCGTACGTTTTGGGTCATGACGACTGAGCAGACCATGCATGCGCGGAGATTGCGCTGCTGATTAGGGGGTACGTAGTTTTCAGTCATTATATTTGTTGTGATGTTTTGGCTGGAGTTGGAGTTGTAATGAGAAGGCTTCCAGAATTGAGAGGGCTAGGATTTATATAGTTGAAAGGGTTGAGATTGTCCGAAATGTCAAAGAAAGCTGCAAGGCTGAAAAAAGCTTGGACCAGCCGTCTAAAAAAGTTGACACGGCTGAACCTCCTCCCTTGTATCTCGCCAGGACTCTGAACATTGATATAAAAATTACAAATTTGGAAATAGCTTCCTTCGAGCGGTAGAAAAATGGTTCAAACTGCTGGAATAACCGTAGATACTCCAATGCAAGAAGCACCCCCATCATCTATCCCCTCAAAACGCAAACAAAATAGTCACGAGCACAAAGCCATTACTATCACAACACCACTTTTTTCCTACATTCATCTGGAACTTCAGACCTCATCTTTCAAGAAGCCACAGCTAGATGATATTACAGCAAAATCATATATTACCTCAGCACTGTTGCAATTTCTGGGACTCCATGGCTCTGCTATCTCTATTGACATTTTGAAGACGGAGGACAAGGATGTTTGGATCAGAGTCATGAGAGAGGATGCTAGTGCAGTGGTTGCAGCGTTGGGGGGTTGGATTAAGAAGTTGGGCAATGGGGATGAGCAGGCGGGGTGGAGGGTGAAGGGGAGGGCAAATTGGCTGGGAGGCTTGGTGGGAGAGCGAGATATTGAGGAGGTTTGGAATAACTGAGGATTCTGGAGGCTAGAGCAATCTTCCTTTACTTTTCGTCAATAGCGAGCTCTTCCACAAGCCTGGGATTCTAGCTTTCAAAGAAGAGAGCTTCTGGATAAAATTGGCGTTGCATCGTCAACAGAATCTGTTACAAGAAAGAATCGGACACAGTACATGTTTTTGTCGATTGCGACACGAAGCTTGCCTCCCTAATAAGCATGACAAATCCGATATCCAAGTATCAATGCAGGAGTTTCTATGCTGACTGAGCAAGTCATTGAATTCAAAGTCTCTGGAAAAGTTCATGTCCTGGGTTCTGGAACATCGGCAAAGAAGACTAGAACTCTGCAAATGACTTCGTGTCAATAAGGTCGAGCCCGAAGCTTTACATGCAATGTGCGCACACAGCTACGTTCGCTTTAGTCGGTTGGGGGGGGGGGGGTCACGAAGCATTGAAAATGGGTTCTACCACGCAGTCATACTGAAATTCCCAATGAAATTGATTTACAGGCAGAGCAGGTAGCGATATCCATAGATAAATACTCAATTTAGATGTTAAGCTATGTGAAGGTGTGTTTATAAATGGTCACTGAACAAAAAAAGCTCCATCTTTGCCCATAGAGGTTTAACAACCTAATTAATGTCAAGCTGGACTCCCATCATCTCATAAATGTCTCTTCCAGCCCATAAACAAAAGAAAATAAGATAAAATAAGATAAAAACTTTTGTGGTATTTCCCAATCATTTCAGTCGTTTCAACCCAACGCCCCACATTTTATATTAAGCCCATCTTGAGAAGTCTAGACTATCGACCATTGGCTCGTCCCCAATCGTGTCCTTATCCGCTTCTGCTGTAGACATAACCGACGATTTTTGAGAAATAGCGTCAACTGAACCAGATAGAAAACTGAAGTTGGCGACAGAAGCCCGGCGAATACTAGTCATACTCTCGCGGGCCTTGGCATCGGAAACTGCGCTAGTGGATGTACCTGGTGGGGAATTATGAGTAGAATCAGATCGCTTTGGTGCATGCTTTGCCCTCAGCCGATTGATCTCACGTAGGCGATTGCGCCATGGTGAAACGTGTTCTCCACCCTCCCGATTTGCCCAGACCGAGGAAAACACTGAAGCATTCATTGCTAGCAAACGAATAAACTCCGGCAAATTCCTCAGACTGACAATTTTCATCTCAGCAGCAGGGGAAATTTCCGGGAATCCAGGTTTGCTCATGACCTGAACTTTGTAGTATGGATCTTTTCGCAATTGTCCTTGTCGTGGGTCTCTAGCAGCGGTGAAGGAGAGACGGGATTCTGGAGCAATAACAATGTTG